CAGTAAGTATATCAAGAAGAACTCGTAAATACCCGTTGCTAGCTAAACTTGCAAGTCAAGTTCTTTATACATAGAAAAGAGTGAAGCAGCATTAGAGCAGGGTAACTTGATGAGTGTTGTATGCAGCGGGACAGCACAGCCACCTCGGTTTCTGGGGTCTGTCCTGTAACGCATCATGCCTCTCTTCAGTCCTGCCGGTGGCCACACCTCTCACCACGCCGCGCCCGCTGGCCGGTTGCTCGCGGACGCAAGTATGATTCGCATATGTAATGCTTAAAGATGCCTGTCGTGTATGATGACATTCTGCCCGCCTTGCCTACTGATCACTTTCCTGGGGACAAGCTGTACTTATCCGCCGCCGATGCAGATCGACTTCTTCTCGATGCCGCAAGTCATCGGGTCGTATGTCACATTTATTTCAAGCCCGCCTCTACTACCATCAAAGCCCCTCGACTCGGACTCGTAAAACAAATGGCACGGACAGGCGGCACATAGCGTTCCACCGTTGCAACCCCGAGGGGGACACTCGCGAGCCACTGGGGTTCGCGTAATTGCGGGCGCAAGATTTAGCCAGAGTTGGCCGCCTGTACAGTGAGCCGGGGGTCCCAGCCTCGTAGGAGTCGGCCGGCGTCCAGAAGTCAAGCCAGGGGGGAGGGGGCTTGTAGTTTGTAGTGTGGTGTGGTGTAAGACACTGGTCGACGTTGCAACACTCGAGTGTGTTGGTTCGTTTCTCTTTCTCAACCGGGTCCGTCCCACTGGTGTTTCTATCTGGCTCCGCCTGCGTTACTTTACAGTGAAGACAAAAGGCAAAAAAAAACAGCAACAACAAAAATAAAATACCACGACATTGACTCGACATTCGATGTCCCGGTCCAAGGAGACCCTGATGTACATGTGATACAGTACAGTACAGCACAGCACAGTGGCCAAGTTGCAGAAGCTGTGCCGTCCTTGACATGTAACGGCGCACACGCAGCGCAAGGGAAGAGAGATTAGCTACGGAGATCGTCCGCATAGGAAAGAAAGGCTCTGTAACCCCACTGAAGCACGGTCAAGGCGATCATTTACAGTGCCACTAGCTACACTACATTACCGGCCCCTCCCAACCACCCCCGCCCGAGCTCAGCACGAACCAGGGCTGCCTGGAGCCACTTGTCTATGCCAGTTCAGGATGGCCTCAAGCAGACACCGTGTACGCAGCGGCAAGACCGGTCGATTGTGGGTATCGTGATGGGGGGAGGAGGTTGGGAACTGGCAGGTGGACAATTCAGTTTCAGCAAGGCCGGGACCCCGGGGCACTGCCCATCAAAGTCAAGGACAAGCAGGCGAGAGAAGTGCAATGCAAAGCAGGGCCCGGCGCCTCGAGCATGTGGTCAAGGTGCATGAACCATGAACGCACGTCTACATTAGGACAGACAGACAGACAGACAGCATGATTATAGCAGGGTCCATTATGCATTCTTGCTGCGAGATGCCCGTAGCTTTGCTTAAGCTTGTTTTCCTGCTCATCAATGGACAGAGGCAAGGCAAGGTACGGTACGGTACGGTGATGTAGAGGCAATGTAGGCCAGTGTATGTATATATGTATATTACCCTTGAAACCCTACAGGTTCATCATGGGGGGACGTAGTGTACTGTACCGGGGAAAATCGCTTTAGATGCCATGCTATGCGATGCGAATGCACGTCACTGTTTTAGTGCATGAGATGCCATGACCACCAAGGCATGCTGCACTGCACCGGGGCAGAAAAGAGTGAGTGCGTGAGTGCGAGGGAGACAACGCTGGTCGTGCATGAATGATGAACAGTCACTCCTAGATCGCGGGGGATCTGCCCTGGCTAAAGCGTCGTCGCGTCTTGCAGCAGCTTCATCTGTCCGACAGCAGACCAGGCATCGTCACCCAGTCGCAGCATACCCGATTGGATGCTGTTCTTTTCCCGGCTGTCTGTGGCCATCTCCCATCCACGTCCCGGTTGATGGCTCCGACGGCATGAATCAGCATTTGGTTGCTGATGATGCTATAGCCTGACTTTGTTTTAACTCTGAAGCAAAGCCGGTCGTCCTAGGGCTCACTTCAGTCATCCCTACGGTCGATTGTAACCGCTAAAGAGTGGATTTTAGGCAAATCACTCACAAGCTCGGCACATGACTTCGCGCCGAGTCAGTGAGACAGCCTCGGAAGGTCGCCGTAGGCGACGCGATGGGTCGTGTCGCCACTTAGCAGCTAAGCTACTCCTTTGTCCCATTTTGCGCATAGAAACCGCTCTTTTCACGGTTAATGGAAACCATCGAGAGACTTATCCCGCCATGATCGCAAGCAGCGCATAAGAAGGAAGGCGGTAGAAGAATGAGCGTCGACTCTTACGTGGTGAGATTTCGCGGATTGGACCTGTTGTAAGGAGAAATGCCTTCGGATTCGAGCCGTGGCGAGGCGCCTCTTCCCAAGGTGGCCGATGCCAGATACAGTCGGACTTTCGATCCTTGGAATTCTGTTGGAGCTGGCCATCAGCGCGCAGAGACAAAGGGGCCACAAGGATGGCGAGACAGTCGGAACTTCAAGTTGCGCAGCCAGTTCGAGGCAGGCAATAGTGGAGGCGATCGGTTATCAGATACAGTCGGCAAGAACTCAGAGGACTTTGATGAGCGTTTACAGATGCTTGTACCCAAGGAGATGCGAGCTCGAGCGGCAAACAGTGTTATGGATATGTTGAAGAACCCCGGGACTATGCGCAACAAGGGCTCTGGGGGAGCGTCATTCGGACAAGGGTCCCGCTCACCGGAGAAAGAGCAGATCGACAAAGTAATGACGGCCGAGGCGAGTTTGATTTCCCAGCGGAAGGCTGAGGACGAGGCACGAGAAGAAAGGAAGAACCAGCCCAAAAAGCTCTTCGAGGGGCTCGTCATTTACGTCAATGGCAGCACTCATCCCATTATCTCGGATCACAAGTTGAAGCACATCCTCGCAGAGAACGGGGCGAAGATGTCGATGCATCTGGGCAGACGGCAGGTTACTCATGTGATTATCGGGAAGACGGCTGGGGTAAGTGGTGGAGCAGGAGGCGGCCTTGCTGGCGGCAAACTGGAAAAGGAGATCCGCCGACTTGGTGGTTGTGCTGTGAAATATGTCAACGTTGAATGGTATGTCTATATTTCACTCTGCCCGCTACCAATCAATGTTGTGTCTTTACTAAATGTTACAAGGGTCATCGAGAGTGTCAAGGCGGGCAGGAGGCTCCACGAGGCGAGATTTGCGAGCCTCAAAGTCGCCTCCGGGGGTCAACAGAGTGTCTTCGGGGCTTTCTCCAAGGCTCCGCAATAAGGCGCTATGTCTTCGGCCATGGAAGGTAACAGTTTTTCGTATTGATCTCAAGTGAGGTCTGACGATGAGCTATGAGAGATGTTTGCTATGTCTGCATGGTATATTGGATTGCATTGGGTTGTGAACCATGGAGAAAAGGCTTGCATTTAGGCCCAAGCTTCCGGGGTCTCCGCAACAAGATTAGAGCGTGAAGAGGGATAGAGGCATTGGTCTGGCGCTAGGTAACGGCTTGCATCTGCATTGGTAGACAAACAAACTCGCCCCGTGGCGTTCTTGGCTAGATTCTTCTTCATCCGGTGAAAGCTTCTAACAATCATACAGAGTTGTCCTGTGCTCCTATTTGTCGTTGATGACTATGGAGACCTCGAATATGATGTTGGCACGATCCGTTCCGAGTTTTATGACCGATCATAATATCGGAATGAACATGAGAACTGGTTGAGTATGGCCACTTCCAAGCCAACCGGGTCCTTGGGTCACCGAAGTTCGTATTAGAAAATTAAGTGTTCATATGGGGTTGGCCATTGCCTCTTCGTCTTATGGTAACCATGAGGTCATGGTCCCAGTCGCTTGTGTTACGTTCATCTCTGATGAATAAATATTCGAGCGGAGGTTGCCTTGATGTGTGGACAAGACTAAACCCTCTTGGATGTTAGATCTAGTATCTGGTGACGATGCCTTACAAGGTCCTCCACTGCTCTACCACAAAGGATGTGCTTCGCCCGTCAGCTGGGTCGGACAATTGATTAACGGGTCCTACCGAGAAAGTTGCCCAACCCAGTGCCTCCTTCGATGCCTCAAGCACTTGTGCGAGTTGGCTTGTCTTAGATACTAAAGCCACTGATGCAGACCCTCTGATATGGGCCACGGTGAAGTGTGCGGAAACTTTACAGAGAAGAGAGAAAGTTGCCCCTTTTGACGAATTCGCTGTCTCGGTCGGGAGAGCAGCCTAGACATGTGTGGTCATGCCTTGCTCAACGGGCCGCTGTTTCGAGTACAACTAAGAGGCAGAGCGTATCACTTGACGTATACGCCAGCCACAAGGCCACTGCAGAGGCCCGACGGCGTGTAACGATGATACTTGGTGCACTGTTCATACTACCATTAAGAATGCTCCAACTCAGTTTGTACTTTAGATTAATGTAGTTCCGCCATGTGCGCATTTCCATCTGTGGACAACTCCAATCTACTAACGCTCACGGGAGTAACATGGATATCGAGATACCAATGCAAATGATATCCCAAAGAAAAGCGTCCTTGCGTTGGATGCTCCTTGGCTAACGTGGTACACTGGCTTCCGGCCGAGTCATGGGAGAGGGCGTGCGTGAAGAAAACTTCTTGATAGTATTACTCCTCTCACCCTTAGGCCCCTGTTGTGCAACGATCTTAACCCAAAATGGGCTCAGAAGAGTCTCCGTTGGTTGTTTCTGGGTCCTATATACGTATTTAGACATGTTGATTTCTGTGCTCTGAAGCTAGGCACACCGTGGTGCACGCAACAGAAGTGAAGTATTCAATATCGACCAGATCTCACGTACAGTTATGAAGAGTCTTGCAACATATGGACTCGCTTGAATTTGTATCCATCGGAAAGATAAGATACTATTCCGACCACAGAACTGGATTGGCATACCTCCATAACACATTGAATTGCTATGGAAGCTCTGCATTCTGATCGTACTCAGAGCTTTGCTCTGGTCTCAATGGACTTATGGAGTTGTCCCTTTTCTGCCCAATAATCTCGTATCTTCTCTCTAGCCAAATCCACGACCGCGGCATCCTCGACCGTCTGCGGGACATTGACCTCCTTGTCAAATTCACCATGAACAGCGTTCTCTAGGAGCTCCCTGAGAACACGCCTTAACGTCTTACCAGAGCGAGTCTTTGGAATGATGCCCTTTCCTTGAATCATGCCACCCAAACTGGCAATGGCCCCTACCTGTGTCCTCACAAGCTTCTGCACCTCTTTGAATAGCTGATCATCTGATATATCCGAACTCGTGCCGACAAATGCAAAAGGCATTTGGCCTTTCAAAGCATCGGGAATCCCTACCACACACGCTTCAGTGACGAGTGGGTGGCTTGTGATAGCTTGCTCTAGTGTTCCTAGTTTACAATGTTAGATTTGTGACCTTCGTCTGAGAATGGACGCTTACCTGTACTAAGGCGGTGTGCAGCAACGTTGATAATATCATCTACGAAGACTCATGTTAGTATTTCTGCTGACGACGCTGTTGGTAGGTCAAACAAACCCGAGCGAGCCATAATATGTATGTATCCATGTTCATCGATCCAGCCAGCGTCTCCCGTATCAACCCACTTCCCATCGAACCGTTTCAAGTAACCCTTGTAGAATCTCTCCTCGTCTTCCCAGAGAGTGCGGAAGGCAGTCGGCGCAAGAGGTGTGTTCAGGACTATGTTTCCCATGCTGCCTTTTGGCACCTCCTTGCCGTTGTCATCAACAACACGGACGTCAAAGCCTGGCATGGCCTTGCCCGCGCTGCCAGGCTTTATCTCCAAAGGAGGGTGATCTCGAACATCAGTCTTCCTATCCTTCCCGGCGTGAGGCACCAGGGCTATTCCCGAGATTGGTGAGCCTGATTCTGATGACCACCAGTTGTCGATGACATGAGCATCATTGGCACCGTATTTCTTTAGCAGGTCCTGATACATAGTGATTATAGCGGGCTCGGAGCGTTCGCCGGCCAGGAACATAGCTTTTAAGGATCTCAAGCCACCTCGCTTCCCTATCTTGGTGATATACGTGTTTTCCGGGTCATCTTTTCGAATGGCACGGAGAGCCGTTGGGGCTGTAAACATCGTGTTGACCTTATATTCCTCGATGATTCGCCAGAACGCCGAAGCGTCGGGCGTGCCTACTGGCTTGCCCTCATATAACACCGTTGCGGCTCCGGTTAGAAGCGGCCCATATAGCGTATAGCTGTGAGAGACAACCCAGCCAATGTCACTGAAACATCCCATCTAGTAAATCGCGATGTTAGCCTTCTTTCATATTGCTTGTCGGTGAAGCACCTACCACATCGCCAGGTCCGTGGATGTTGAATAGATAGCTTATAGAAAGATGAAGGCCAACAGCATGACCGGCCGCATCTCTGAGCACACCTTTCGGTAGACCTGTTGTGCCGCTTGTGTAGATGATGTATATACCATCGGTCGACTTGACCGGCACGCATTCAGCCTTTACGCCCCGTGCCTTTGCGCTCCTGACAAGCTTCTGCCAGTTACGCTCCCCTTCAGTTGATCTCATGCGGCCCCATCGAAGTTGGTCGCGTTGCCATACAATGGTCTTTGGGGTCTTCCACTCTGCGAGATCCTCTGCCTCTTCGATAAACACTTGATAGGGGATAGGGGGTTTGTTGCCGTCGATGCCACAAGATGCTGTGAGGATAGCAACCGGTCGAGATGCGTCGATCCGCTGAGCGAGAGCTTGGGCGGCAAACCCTCCGAAGACGACGGCATGGATAGCTCCTATCCTGTTGACCGCTAATATACCAATCAAAGCGGCCGGAATCATAGGCACTGTGATGTGTTAACAAGTCTAAGTCCTCTTGATAGGAAGAGGTCGAATGGTACATACTATACACAAGAACCACATCCCCTTTTTTGACGCCTTCATCTCTCAGGACCCCAGCAAAGGTCTCAACCTCCTCGAGTAGTTGCTTATATGTGATCCTCTGCTTTGTGTTCGTGACAGGACTGTCGTACAGGATAGCCGGTTGATCGCCATTGCCTTCTAAGACATGACGATCAACACAATTATAGCATGTCGATATCTCGCCATCGGGAAACCACTCCCAATGATCGTGAACCGTGCCATTATCTAGTTTCTTTGTATACTCCTTCAGTACGGCAGATGGCTTCTTGTGCCAGTACAGATGCTCTGCTTGTTGGCCCCAGAAGGTTTCCGGGTCATTGATAGAGTGATGATGGACCTCGTCTTGAGGATGAGCCATTGTGATAGCGAGCTCGATGGTGGCAGCGGATAACAAATTCCGGAAGGGATTCTGTGTTCAAATAGCCAGACCCCGAATGAGATGCTCAATTACTCGGCCTTCTATATTGGCGAAGACGAGTTAAATAGACGAAGGGTTCATGAAGTTCATATCCTCGGCTGTCAACTAGTGAGGACCAAATCATCTATGCAGGTAGACCACTCGCTCGCGGTTTGATGGGCGGCAGGAGCTGCAGCTTTCCCCGCATATTCCGTTGCCCCGGACTTGGGGTAAGACTGCCGAGCCTCCCATGTTAGGCCGAATGCGTTTGGAAGTGCTTGCAAGCCTTCTAGGCTCTCTCAAGTTGTAACAACTCCTAGCAATGCTCAATATAGTTACAAAACACCAATTGACGCGGATGGGTTTTCAAACCTGTTCATGTGTGAGATTAATGCTTGAGCGACTTCGATGCCATATTGCGGGGGTCCGGGGTGAAAGTCGGTTGACTTACTACTTCCCCGCCTGGACACTTGTCGCTGGTTCAAATGACTCTCGAAGTGATTTGACGACTGGAATGTAGAATATGAAAGTAATTGATCTCTTCACTTTATCCCAGACAATGAAAAGGCCATACTTAGGGCCACTTGAGCCGTTCCTTTCAAAATTTCTGGTTCATCATTGAAAACCTTATCCGCCATATATGTCTTTAGCAGATTCTAGGAGCTGTAACTCAGACACGCGGACCCGGTCCTACCGTCAGTTGTTTGTAGTGAAATGAGTGCCTCTTTACAATAGAGAAGTCTCAGTTGGATATTATCATACTGATTCTCTACTTGCAATTGCCTAAAGAGTTCGCCAAAGACGATCAGACTTGTTATTATTTGCAAGTATCAGCAACGACCATCGAGCAACCCGACTGGTATCTGCCAAATATTTCATTGAGTGTGAGACCAGACTAACTTGCGAGTGCCCTAGAGAAAGAATGATATGACAGTACTTTGATAAAAAGAATGTGGGGGGCCTAAAATTGCAGTGAAAGATGTCCTCTGGGAAGATGACTGTCCTTCAACCTGCTTGTTTAATATAGAAATTTGCATATGCTCATGTTTGCAGCTCAAATAAGAACATAGCCCTGCTGGTAACACAATATTACTGCAGCAGGTCGTGTAAGTGTGACTATCCCGAAACGCGATGATATGGCCAAACTTATGACTTCGACCGGGTGCAGGTGAACGGCGTCTACGGCGTAGAGGAAGTTGCCTTGCAACGGACTCAACCGCACTCCGGCAAAGAGCTGTGATCTGGCAGAAGGGACCTCAATGCTTAATGATAGACTGCTTCTTAGGCAATCCGATTAGATCCTGGTAACCTGTAATTGTTGCTTATGACCTCGAACGTGGCCACGGCCCATTTACATTAGCCGCAAACATAGGTGGTGGGTCTGGTATTGGCAAGGTGAGAAGGGCGAGACAAGATGGATACCAATGTCTTTCTATTTTCAGAGACCACTCAGACTAATTCCTGGCGTTATCACTTTTACTCTTTACAGTCGAAGTGGCTCGACGACAAGGCAGACGGTCGAGCCTACGTGAGAACTAAACAGATCCATCGAGCAGTGGGAATATGACGTCAAGCGCCATCCGCCCGACGCTCTCGAAGAGAAGCTAGGCGTGAGGATTCCAAGTCGGTAGAGCTGAGCTGCTAAACTGCCTAAGGGTGGAGAACGGCTCCTCGACGTGAGGACTAGAAGGCCTCTAAGTCGTCATTCCGATTCTTCCGACGCGAAACCGTTTCGCAGTGAAAGCAGGAATGGGAGAAAACGTGTGAACGTGGTGTATCCCCTCGTGCTCCTCGCAACGGCGGTGGCGTCCCTTGCAACGATGGCCGCCGTTTGTCTTAGACAGTCTCACTCTAACTCCACTCACCCTGTTCCGTATTCCGGATTGTGAACGGCTATGGTGTTCAGAGTCGTCGCATTCTCTCTGGGAGCCGGTTCTCCTCTTTTGTGAACGCTACCTAGCATAATGTAGAATCACACATTGACGCTCTTAGGGAAGAACTTAATGTCAGCAATCGCAAGCAGCCGCTTGTGTTGCCGACCACTCAACCATTGGAACGGCAATCCGGGCAGTGACGACACACGAACACACACCCCTCGTGCGTCCCCTGGTGTCTGGCCAATCTCTCTTATCAAGAGGTGTGTGCCACTAAGGTTCTGTGCCTGCAGTAACGTTTGGCGCCAATGTACTGTTCCTACATGAGACCCCTGCGACGTTCGCATAATTAGTCGTGCGTGGCAACGTTATCTCTCTACAGAGAATCACAGGAGAAGGGCAGCTTCAATCGGAGTGGGAGACCCTGGGTGCATGATGGGCTGTGCAAGGCGTAGGGTGTAGGGTGGTGTTTGCGCGTCCCTTACGACTGCCACCGTCTAATGTCTCTGTCTCTGCGTGTCTCGACTGCCACACTCAGCTGGGAAAGCGAGTGTCTTGGAGCTGTGTGGGAACCGTAGTCCACTTTTCTCCTTCGCACCCGGCCGTCGCAGTCTGGGACCCAAACGGCGTCCTCCCGCCCCGAGGACGGACAAGTACAGTCGAGGATTGTCACTGATCATCGATCGCTGCGCGAAACGCTGATCATCCCATCGCTCATCACTCCTGGCACCCATGCTGGCCAGGCCTCGTTGTTTTAGTGCCCCGACGCCCGGCCGCGAACGATCTGCAATGGCGATAACCGTCTCAACCGACGAAAGCAGCCAGTCCTGGGATGTAATGTGTGAGCTAGATATCCATTGTTGTAGCCGACCAGCAGGCAGGCTGTAGAGGTCGAGTACAGAGAATAAACGGCGCTCGAGGGTTGATCAGGCTAATGCAAAAACTGAACGGGCTGGCTTGTGAATTCTTCTTAGCAATTGGTAGTCTTGAGCGCTACAACCACTTGCCGCCCGCTGCTGTGGCTCAAATCTACGAAAACGAGGTGATCAGCGCTCAGCGGCGCGCCAATCCGGAATTAGCCTATTTTGACATAGTGACGACCGTCGACCTTCCTTGGATCAGATCATTGTAGCAATGAATGAACGAGAGAACTGCGAGGCCATAGGTGCGTCCACAGTGAAGAGGAATTCTGTATCGTAGAAGGGCGTCTAGACAGGCCGAGAAGAAACGAAACAAACCGGGCTTGCCGCCCCGGCGATTCAATATGTGAATCCTATTGCAGACGGGCGCCAGTGTCTTACCAGGTACGAGGTGATACGGCGGCGTGGTAATAAGGTTGGGAAACATGGGAGCGCAGATTGACAAGTTCATGCCGTGTCATGTCATGCTATTACACATCATTCTGATATTGGGAACTTCTATCGCATCCTAAAAAAGGTATCTGGTGTTTCTCCAAGCGCAGCCGCCCCTTCTCTATCAAAATCATCATGATAAGAATAGTAGACATAATCTCAAACAGAAATAAGAACGATCCTTCATTAGAGGGAAAAAAACATGTTCATCACACACACATTGACACTGAGCTCTTGAAGTAAGAGAGAGAAGTTGAAAAAGGGTGCCGGACCAAAACTGGCCTCCCAGCAAATGCTTGTTTTGCCTTGACTATCATACAAGAAGGCTCAACAAACACCTGAGATTTCCTTTGACAGGAGACCATAAACACGCCCAGCCTTTTATAGGTAGAAATAGAGAATCCTCAAAGCTCCGTCGACACTTGATCGACAACAATTATACAGGATAAGTGTATACACGATTAAGGCTCTTGATACAACAGGCGGAGCACACGAGAAAACCGAGAAAGAGTAACTTGGTTTCGAGAGAACAAGAAATTTGAAGAAGATTGTTGGTATTTGTCAAAAAAGGGTCGTTTCGATTCGTTTGAGCCTTCCTTTGGGAACAACTCCTCCAAAAAACTCCTCTCTATCCCCGAGGTATAGACCGCACACATCGGTTACTTGAGCAATCCTCCAGTCAGCGCGATGATGGTTGTTTGGTACCACACACCCGAAAAAACAAATTACAAGAATCCAAGATATGTGAACACCTGCATGGCGTGGCCGTTATGTGCAATTATAGTAGAACAAAACTCCATGGTGCGATGCAGTTGGCCGAATTCTCCATTCCCATCTATAACCGTCGTTGACGTCTCAAAACCACACGCCTCCGCGGCGTGCCTCCTCTCTATCCCTTCCACCACGCAACCAACGCTCTCCAGTCATCAAGGTAGCCATGTCCCCACGAATTACGGTATTATCGAACAAAGGAAATCGTGAGTTAGACGTGGATGCGAGCATTAATTGGTGATTTACAGGAAGAAAGCAGCAAGGCCGAGAACACCAGCCAGACCGGCGCCGGACATGACAGCGGCCTTGCCAGCGCCAGCGGTGGGCAGAGCGGTGGCAGAGGTGGTGGCAGCCGGGGGAGTGACGGTGCCGACTGTGGTGGGGACAGCAGTCGTGGGGTAGGCGGTGGTGCTGTTGACGTAGACCGGGGGAGCGCTGTGATTCTCATGTTAGCGTACTCGATCCCAGACAGGAGCATGGAGCTCACCAGGTGTGGCATGCAACTGACGAGGTGGTGGTCAACGGCTTGGTGACGGTGCAAGGGCAGTCAGTGATGGTCAGGGTGGTGGCCTGGATTGGATTGTTAGCATTGCTGTCTCTACTCTTCAGATATCTGGGGGTTTGCGCTGCTCATCCGTCCCGAGACTTGGGATATGATGCTAGGAACCACGAGCCGTGCGGCCGAGATGAGTCCCCAACAACCGCCCAAAGTCCCGGTTCGAGACCAACGCCTTCCCCGAGGAGTCCCTCATACCTCAGTGATGGTGTAGGTGGTGCCACCGTGGGTGATCTCGGTGGGGCCCGGGCAGTAGGTGGTCACGGCAGTGACGACCTCAGTGGTGTAGGTAACGTTCTCCCAAGCGGAGGCGCCAGCGGCGACGGCAAGGACAGCAGCAACGGAGGCCTTCATCTTGACTGATTTGTTCGGGTATTAGGTATATACGTTTGGAGGTTGGTTTGGCGGGTTGGTTAACGAGTGAAATTGACTGAATAGTCAGGGTGGCCTAGTGAGCGAGTGTGTGTGGGTGAAGAGGAAAGAGAGGGAAGAGCAGGACAGGCCTGAGAGGGGCGCAGTTATATACAGACCGGACGGCCCATGATGGGTCTGCATGGTGCCATGGCCCATGGGATGAGATGGGGGTGACGGTGGTCTCTCTCTGTCTGCTTGAACGGACGGACCGGGGGCAAGGCAGCGCGAGATTGGGAGGAGGTGGAGCGTCCAAGTCTCCTTGACTTGGCGAGATGGGAACGGGAGTTGGCAAGGATGGCTTGCTTGCTAGGCACTGCTAGGGCTTGATGGGCGCTACTGGGGGCCTCATCCGTGAAAAGTCCACTTTTTGTTGCTTTTAACGAACAGGTTATTTTAAAATTGGCCAAATCATAAGGGGACTTTCCGGAGATGGGTTAGGACGAGCTGCTGCAAGGTACAGTACGGGATGTGAGGTATCTTCCAGGTCGAGAAAAGGGGGGGTGTGGATGCGCTGCAGCACACCAGCAGGGGTCGCCCAGGGCTACATCCAGCACTGGCTGGAAGCCACCGAGGCATCCCCGATCAGTAACAACAACAATAACAACCGCACCAGCACCAGCACCAGCGCCGTCCTAGTAACCTTGGAAAGGAGGAGATTGAGTACCGTATGCCCTCAGTGCCCAGAGACAGCGAGCCCCAGAGAGAGTGGAGGAGTGGAGGAGTGGATGCTTGCTCCATCGCTTGGCGCTGGCTGCAGTCGCTTGGCTGACTGCGCTGCCGTCAGTTCTAGCGAAGGTAAAGTACTATGCAGTACTCCGTAGAATACGGGAGATGGTACAGAACCCAAGTGGAAGCCCAGGCAAGATGGAATGCCCAGTTACCCGCCCCAAGCACACTCAGATGGACGAGTGACTACTACTGCGTATGGTGGTGGCCGGTGCAAAGAATACGGTAGGTACCAAGGAGACCACCGAGTGTACCTACACGAGCCAGAGATCCCTAGGCTCTTCGAGCCGGTACGCCAGCGTTGAGCTGGTGGGGACCCTTGTGGCGGACAATGTTGCGGCGGGCCAGTCAGAGTGCAGGGAATTGCTAATCCCCCGATCTATCGGTTCCTGGGCTCGCTCCTGGGCCTTCAGCCTTCTTGATCTGGGCCGACGCAGGATCAGGAAAAACAGGTACTTTGTGACATGCAGTCATGCCGATGTTGATGATGATGATGATGGCTTGCTGTTACTAGAGCTAGCCTACTGAGAAGCTGTCGTCGATTCAATAGTACATTGCCTAGGTACATGTATGTAGCTGGCAAGGCACGCCATTGCAAGAGCTTATTTTCTGAGGCGTTGAGACATGGCAGACCTTCATTGTCTGCAATACCCGGTTGGTGTCTGTAGCCCTACCTCATTCGCTGCTGGCAAATTGACAAGCATACTGCGTAAAGCGTGCATGCTCTATTATCAGTCATACGGCATATTCCTCGTCGGACAACCAACAGCGACAGAGATAGAGAGGTCTTCTGAAGTGCAGCTACAGTAACATTGGAGGTTTCGCTGCACCCATGTTGGAGGAAGAACCGCCACGCAGGGGGACTTGCCTATGTTACCGCGGGTACCTGGCTGATTTGCTGATTTGCTGATTTGCTGCAGGTACCAGCGGCCAGCAGCACGCGCGAACCAGGATGCGCAGCGTTGGACAGCACCAAGCACCTCGAGCGGAAATGAGCTTTTTCGCTATCGCAGGCCCCGTTTTTCGCCCTTCCCCCTCGACCTGGCCACCATCCATCATCAGCATGATTCAGTTCTCAGCGCCCGCCGATTCGCTGGCGCTGCGAAGCTTGGAGCTTCTCATTCAGCGAAGCGTTAGGCTCCTCCAGCTTCATACACCTCCGGTTTTGGCTAATGCGCCAGCTGAGGTGACTGATCAGGTTTGCCACCGCTGCAGTCTTGTCATCAGCCACCGTTGTCATCGCCGATTTGCAGAGCAGCTTCCACTCTACTCTATCGTGCAGTGGCAGCATCTGTTGTCCTGAGTGACATGGCCCTCGTCCCTGTCCCTAATATAGGCCATTGTGTTTTACCCGTCAGATGCCCATGATTCGTCGGAATCCCGCCTTTCTCAGTCGAAATACCGAGAAGGCTTCTTTGCTGACCTAGGTATTCGCCGTATGCCATTAATTGAGACTCTGGCCAGTGGCTGCTTCTAACCTGGAAATAACGGCATACCACTAGACGGGATGATATGAAAAAAAAAAAAAAAAGCTCCGAGTTGTGATGAAAGAGCGGCGGCGGCAAACTTTTCCCAAAAGAGCGGACTGGCCAAGGCTAGTGGCCAATCAGAGCCTGTTGTTAGCTTACTCCCCTGAGAGAAATCCTCGCCGCCCTAAGAGATGGCTGCCACGTAATTTCGCGGATGAACTTGTGGGTTGCATAGTGAAGAGGACTTTTTTTCACTTTCAGTGGGTATCTTGGGCATGAATGTCCGCTATTACTCGTTATCTCCTCTCCTGGAAGACGCTGACTGAGCTTGCCTGTACTTGCTGTTTCTCGTATTTGGCATCCACCAAATTACCGGCCTCAAGTCAGGTACTTCGAGTCCTTGCCCCCCTTCCCACTCCAACCCGATAAGGTACCTCACTCGTGCGCGCGCCGATGACTCGACCGACTGCCTCGTATCTTTTCATGAGCAGCTACCGCACGCGAAATGAGCAACTCGGTCCAACCCACCCGAGTCTGGAATCTTTGATCTGCCTTTATCCTGGCACTGAGGCATCTGTTTACCATGAACAAGGTCAGGCTAATGAGCCTTCCGTTCATGCTTGATCTAGGCACCCCTGAACGGTAAATGCACTCGTACCTCCCTATCTTTGTGTTCCCCAAGAGCCCCCTTCCAAACACTTCAGACGGAGGCTATCATATGATGCCAGTAGCCGATGTGTCAGGGTTCTTCTTCATGGGTTCTGTGGCCTTGGCAACGTTAATCTTTCGGTCTCGCCCGCCTTGCCACTCAGGTCCATTATCACATTGTCATAGAGCCGCTGCACCAGCGTTTGGCAACCCAGGGTGAACCGCCGTATCCTAGCTCATCTAAGAAAGAAGTCTCCTTATCGGCTCAAAATCCGCCTCGGTGTAGATTCCCCGGTCAGTGAGAGTGGTATACGAGATGGTTTGGAATCAGTCATAAGGTGCACTGTCTCCGAAGCCTTTGGCGAATCCAACTCTCTCAAACAGACGCAGCCTCATTAGATGGTTTGTAATTGCATGACCAGAAGCAGACATGGTCCTTCCGGGCCTTGGAGGGAATGCCTCAATGCGGCAACGAGCTTCTCGAGGCGACCATGGAACCGGTCGCGTGTCGTTGCAACGCTTCACGCGTCGCCCAGCCGGATATGCTAAGCGCGCCTGTGCACCATGCAGCATCGTGTGGCTCTAATTTCCACTCCTGCGTCCTCATTGAGATCGTCATGCGGGATACCGAGCCGGCAGCATTAGATAGCTTCAAGGTACCATCTAATTTTATCTATCGATGTTCCGGTTCGTAAAACTTAAAAAGCGCGTTCATCTCCACTTGGAGAAACAAGTCGCGCGTCGTCTGCATCCGGTTGTTTTGTTGACAGCGCGTTGCTTTGAGCGGACTCTTCCTCCCTGTTTGCCCAGTCTATGACCGCCGCTATGAGTATAATAGCCTATCTCCTGATTGATAATTGGCCAGAGGGTGAAATGCCGACTGTCAGATTTTTGTGTCTTTCAGCCTCAAGAAAGCTTTGAAAGGCATTCACAGGATCAGCTTCGTGATCCTTGCCAAGTCCAACTTTGACAATCCGCAAGGCGCATATGAGAAGCGACTTCACTGTCGATGGGTCTGTTCTTGACAATGTCATTTCGGGCAGCGTCAGGATGCGACTATTCTTTGAATTGCTAAATCTGGCGTCGTCGACCGCCTGTAGGGCAGGTACATATTGTATCATCGAACATATCTGTCAGCATGGAAACGCCGCTTCCATCCGCTTCTTCCTGACTTCCTCTCTATTTCAATGCCTGCAAAATTGCCGAGCGGATTTTTTTTGCCGAGGCCGACAAAGATATCTCTGCGTTCTGGTGTCCGACCTACGCTTTCTGTACTGATGAAGATATGATGATTCCCAGGTTTGGGCCGGCACGGTGTGATTCGAGAATCCGGAGCCTCGCAAACCTTCGGACAACATCGCATTCGCTTAGATGGAGGATTCCCATTCCGACCCGGGATCCAATCCGGGAAAGACGTTGTCAAGTGGCTGTCATTGCGGATTTATAAACCAGTATGGTCGTTATACTCGCGAGAGAAGTCTCCGCAGCCTGCGCCGTTGAGGATCGTCCGAATTCCGCTTTCAGGGCTGACTGGAATGGGCGCTGGGACGACATGTCCGCACCGGCGCAGAGCTAGGAAGTCGGCTCCCCCGCAAAGTCTCATATCAAAGTCCGAGACAAGTCTCGCATGCTTAACAATCAAGAAAAAGCGTATTGCAGGGCAACTTTGGCCGCAAGCACGCGGTGCATGATTCTTACCGTCTGGCACGGAAGAAGCCTCGGCCTGTGACCTTTCACCTTACCCACTGGGCATGATTAAGCTCCGTGCGTCCACAACGGCACTTAACGTCATTGAATGCGGAGCGGAGCGCCCACTCCACGCCAATACCTACATAAGAACGGCTGGTGAGAACACATTCAGAGGTGGCTGCCGAGCTTCATCTGAGATTTGCCAAGAAGGCGTAACACTAGAACTTGACATCCGAGTTCTTGATTGACTGAACTGGCCCAACCATTGACACGATGCCCGAGTACATGAGAGCTGTCGGTATGTCAATCGTTATTATTCAGCCTGTTCCCACACAACGGCAAGAGCCGCAATATGCCGTGACTAGCACTGCTGGAGACATCCGACTATTTTCTAATTCAACACAGAGGTTAAGGGCGGCAAGGGACATGTCGATGCACTCTTTATCAATGATAAAACCGAGAAGCCTACTCCCAAGGATGGCGACGCCATTGTGAAGATCAAAGCCTTCGGCCTAAACCGCATGGATTTGATCCAGCGCGAGGGCCACTACCCGCTTCCTCCTCAGGCACCATCCACCCTCGGCGTAGAATTCAGCGGCACGATCGAGTCGTTTGGCGCGGGTGACCACGGCGCCTTCAAGGAAGGCGATGCCGTCTTCGGGCTGGCGTACGGCGGCGCATACGCCCAGTACATCGCCGTCTCGACCAAGATGCTTCTGCACAAGCCGGACGAGCTCAGCTGGGTGCAGGCGGCGGGGATCCCGGAGACGTGGATCACCGCGACGCAGGCCCTGCACTTCGTGGGGCAGTTCTCCAAGGGCCAGTCTGTGCTGTGGCACGCTGGGGCGAGCGGCGTCTCCATTGCGGGCATCCAGCTGAGCAAGAAGGCCGGCGCGAGCAAAGTTTTTGCGACCGCTGGCACCTTTGAGAAGACCGCGTTCATCACGAAGGAGCTTGGTGCCGATGCGGCGTTTAACTACAAGCGCGAGGACTGGGCACAGGAGATCCTGGAGCAAACGGAGGGCAAAGGAGTTGACATGATCATCGACTTCATTGGAGCCAACTACGTCCAGAACAACCTGAAGGCCATTGCTCGGGATGGGCACATGGTCTCATTGGGAATGATGAGCGGAAGTGTTCTCAATGGTGTAGATGTTGGGCAGATTGTCTACAAAAGAATCAGGTGGGAAGGTAGCACATTGAGGAGCCGCGACGTGATCTACCAAGGGAAGCTCAGGGACAAGCTTGAGGAGTATTTGCCACTGTTTGTGAAGGGTGACTTGAAGATTTTCGTCGACAAGGTCTTCACAATGGACCAGATTCAGGAGGCGCACAAGCTCATGGAGGCGAATACCACTACTGGAAAGATCATTTGTACAGTAGACTAGTAAGGACATGAGCAAGCGGCATATTTGAAACAAGCAATTTGGGCTATCATTCATTATCATCACAATTGTTGTTTAAAGATGTCCGATCCCTATCAAACGCCGTGTTGCTTGTGCAAAGCCTAATGCTCCTTGAGCCACTTCAACATCTGATCGAATGCTGTGCTCTGAGCCGTCTTGATGGTAGCATCTTCATAATCACCAACAACGGCAAACCCTAACTCCATTGTAAGCATCCAGGTAAGGTATCAGAAGGATAGACGGCGTGACTTACCATGAGGAACCCCTGGGTAGACCTGGACCTCATGTTCCAGATTATTCTTCGACAAGTAGTCCTCTCCAGCTGCCCGTACTTCATCTGGGAACAACGGGTCGCTCTCCACACATACCAGGCTGATAGGGGATTTCAAACCCTGAAAGTCCTCTGTCGAGACAAGAGTCGCGTGCGCCAATGCACCGGCCTTGATGAACGGGCCCTGCTTCACCAGTCCCGCTTCTTCGTCAGCCGGTTTCTGACCCCACAAAGCACCAGCAGTGACCGGAGCTCGCTCCGAAGCTAGCAGCAAGATATACCGGCCACCGAAGCAGTATCCTGCTGCATAGATGCCGCCGCCATTCGAGACCGCATCAGCGAACTCGTCCTTGCTTGCGTCTATCACTTTGTGTAGTATGGGCATGACCTTCTCCTCTGTGTGCCGTGCAAGCCACATGTCGATCAAGAAGGACTTTGCAGTCTCAGCCGCCTTGACCTTGAACTGGTCGAGGAAGGAGAGCGAAGCACCATTGCCTTCCTCCTCCTGAATCGTCGTGGAGTTGGGTGCCGCATCACCTTCAAATAGATCTGGCATAACAACCACAAAACCCTCGCTTGCAAACTTGTCTGCCTGGATCTGGTTGTTGGTCGACTTCAGGCCAGTACCGCCGGTCAGGAGCAGCAGCAGCTTTGCTGGTACGTGAGGGTATTCGCTCGGTTTTGAGACGTAGACCTACCATTCATGTCAGTATACACTTTGTTATGCTTCAATTCTGGGCGGAGGCGCTTACATCGACGTCGCCGAGCTTCCTGATTTCACCTGTCGGCCCGGTTCCACTAGCTGAAAGTAAGTCAACGGATGGCAATGTCCTCAAGACTTGGTAAATACTAACGAGTTGGCCTGTCTGTGACACAATGCTCTCCCATCGTGACGCCTTTCTGAGCTGGGGTATCACCGGGAATAGGGCTGTCTTCGAGAGCATCGCTCTCAGGAGCTTTCGTAGCAACCTCTGGCTCTGCCATGGCGGATGGGTTTCGGTGTAGTAGACTGCTAAGAGTATTGCTGAATGATGGGGGGATTGCAAATACGGCGATCCAAATGGTTAAATTCTCTTGGTGGGATGAAAGTTGGAATAGACAAAAAGGGAGACAAAGTACGAGCTTCGTGACTTGCTCAAACAGAAGATTGCTTGGCTTTGTAGGAGTTGTCTGTCCTGTAGTAGCTCGCCCCAGTACATGTAAAGGGCAACACGAAGCACAGCCCACCTTGTGACGTACCCCGCTAAAGTCACAGTGCTTCACTAAATTGCCTTCCCTTCTAGTGGCTGGGCTGACTTATGTAAGCCTACCCGTCACTGGGTGCCCCGCACCACACGCGTTTAATGGGCAACACGGTCAACGGAGGCGAGACGCGTTTTGCCTGCTCCTCCCACATCTTGTTGCCAGCCAACACTACAACACATCGTTAGCATCACAAATCAAGCATACCTCAGGATAACTTGCAACGATGGGTGACGCAGCGAAGCAGATCACACAGGGTGCCCTAGAGTAAGTCTGAAAGCTTCCTGCATATATTATAATTCAGCATCGCTAAGAATCCGATCCCAGGGCGTGCTTCACCGACGCGGAGACGGCTTCTAGATTATTTCCCGTCCCAGTGCTGCAATGCCTTCAGATCAAGCCCCTCGCCGCTCAGCCGAACGGCGCTGGTACTGGTGGTGATAGGTACCGTATCGTTCTAAGCGATATCCGCAACTACGTTCAGTGCATGCTCGCGACGCAGGCGAATCATGTTATTCACGATGGTCATTTGGTGCGAGGATGCATCGTGCGCATCAAGTCATACCAGGCAAACCTTGTCAAGGGGAAGCAGTGAGTACACTTCACAGTCTTCTTTCAGATATATCGCTTACAAGCTATAGCATCTTGATCATCCTGGACCTGGAAGTCATTGACTCCCTTGGCACTCCCGACAAGATTGGCGAACCGGTTGCTTTCGAGCCCAAGGATTCTACGAACAACAGCAACACCACAATCGGCGGCTCAGGATTCTACGGCGCAAAGCAAGAGGATGTGAAGCCTCAAATTCAGAAGCAGGCTCCAGCCAGGGCCAACGGTGCGACAAACGGCAACACTGCCATCTACCCGATCGAGGCGCTCTCCCCGTACGCGCACAAATGGACCATCAAGGCTCGTGTCTCGAGCAAGTCCGATATCAAGACGTGGCACAAGGCGAGTGGTGAGGGCAAGCTATTCAGCGTCAATTTGCTCGACGAGAGCGGTGAGATCAAGGCAACCGGATTCAATGATCAGTGCGATCAGTTCTATGATCTTCTCCAGGAGGGCTCAGTTTACTACATCTCCAATCCGGCCAGAGTATCGCTTGCCAAGAAGCAGTTCTCCAACCTTCCGAATGACTACGAAATAACTTTCGAGAATGGTACCATCATTGAGAAGGCTGAGGACCAGGGTAATGTTCCTCAGGTGCGCTTTAACTTCTGCAACATCCAGGAGCTACAGGACGTCGAGAAGGATGCTACGGTTGATGTCATTGGTGTTCTCAAAGATGTCGCAGAGGTCACACAGATTGTCTCCAAGTCTACGGGCAAGCCGTACGACAAGCGCGAGTTGACGCTCGTCGATGACAGCGGCTTCTCTGTGCGTGTGACCATTTGGGGTAAGACCGCAACGGCGTTCGATGCCAAGCCTGAATCCGTCGTCGCCTTTAAGGGTGTTCGTGTTGGAGACTTTGGGGGTCGTTCCCTGTCTCTTCTCTCCTCGGGCACGATGGCTGTCGATCCAGACATCGCGGAGGCACATAAGCTCAAGGGCTGGTATGATGCTTCCGGCCGCACCGACAACTTCTCGACACATAACAACCTGGCATCCGTAGGTGGTGCCACTGGCCGCCAAGACCAGACGAAGAATGTCGAGCAAGTTAAGAATGAAAATCTCGGCATGGAGAACGTAGACTACTTTACACTTAAAGCGACAATCGTCTACATCAAACAGGACAACTTCGCATACCCCTCGTGCCGCAGCGAGGGCTGCAGCAAGAAGGTGACGGACATCGGCAATGGCTGGCGCTGTGAGAAGTGCGACGTGGTTCATGAGCGACCGGAGTATCGCTACATCATGTCTGTGAACGTCAACGACCATACAGGCCAGCTGTGGCTTAGCTGCTTCAATGAGGTTGGCCAGATCGTGATGGGAGGCAAGTCCGCGGATGAGCTCATGGCCTTGAAGGAAGAGGATGAGACAAAATTGGCCACCGCGTTCGAAGAAGCGAATTGCAGGAAGCTAAGCTTTAGATGCAGAGCGAAGATGGATACATTCGGAGATACTCAGAGGTACGTGCTTCTTCTGGCCTAGACGAGTTGCTGAGACTAACTCAAGAACACAGAGTCCGTTACCAGGTCATGAGCGCCACACCTTTGGACTACAAGAGCGAGGCAAACAAGCTGGCAGAGCTGATCAAGCAGTACAGCCTCAACTAGAGTCTGGAAGTGTAGTGTGAAAAAGGATTACGAGACGCATCTTAAACGAGAATTCAGGTTTGCTTACTTATGTCAACGTATGGGAGTCAGTGTTATGATGAAACGGGCATGTACGACGTAGGAGGAATGGAAAGCTTTAATACAGGATTGCTCTTCGATAGTCATAGGGATGGCTGCAGACTAGGCCAAGACAGGCACGCAAAATACCATTAAAAGACGTTTCTCATTTAAGTCATCACCTTGGCTTGGCATCTAAGTAGCTAGCTACCCGTGTCTCGCATCGACGAGAGCTTGATGGCAAAAGCAAAAGCAGCCTACCCTCTCTAACGCCTGGCTGATCTAGTGATGTCCGAATAGCCACAGTGCTATTCATGCTGTTTCTCTTCACTCATTTTTCCGCCTTCGCCCCATGCTCATGGCTTGTATTCTAGGTCGATGGCATGTAAAATTCTTATTCTTCCTCCACGCCCGCTGGGTTAGAGATAGTCGAACATAGCTTGTGATCTTAGGAGTCTTCTCCTAATAGAGCCTTGATAGCCATTTTCGACCTAATGGCCTCTTGACCGTCCTACTGGCCGGGAAGCAGACCTCCCATAAGGTCCTCGTCCTCGATCTGGGCGTCGAATCCTATTGCCGCATCACGACCGGCATTCTCCTTCTCTCGCTTCTGCTCCTTGATGAGGTGGCGGACGTACTCCTTACTCGTGCTGAGGCGCTCATTGGTGGCCTTCAGGACGGGCTGGAGATCCTTGATCTTCTGCGCTGTGACGAGAAGTTCGGCCGAGAACTCGTCCTCGGTGAGCTCGTTTGAACTCTGCAAGAACTTCAGATAAGCGGGCGAGCCGCCGGGCTTCTCGATGGTGCCCTCTAACATGCCCGACGCTATCATGTTGTTGATGAGGACCTCTACCTCCTCATCGATCTCAAGAGACTCGCCCGTCTCAGCGCTCCGTGTCCTGGCCCGGATATCTGAGATGGAGATCTTGGAGTACACATCTCGCAGATTAATGATCTGCCACTGCTGATGTGCAGCCAGGACCTCACGCATCAGCCCGAAGTTGCCATCGTCCTGCCATCGTTGCAGGTTCTGCTCCGCCTCGATCTTGAGCGCTGCAGCATCGAGTGAATCGAAGTGTGATCCAATCATCGTGTAGGGTTTACCTAGAGTCTCGTAGTGTCTCCGAGCTGCCGGGGACGTATAAGCTGGAAGACTCGGTGTCCGCCCGCTCAGTAGAAGATTGACGAGAATCCACTTGTTGTGCGCTTCAACCATGATCTTGCTCACGCCCTGGTCTCTGGTAGGGTAGGAGAGGACTCGCTCAAACGCGGCGGATGCCTTTTCCCACTGTTTCGCAGAGCAGTACATCATGCCACAGAGTAGGTCATATTCAAGGACCTGTGTGACTTGCAAGTTGGTGGTGAGCCCGGTCTCCTTGGATATGTATGAAGGTGGAGGTAGAGTCATGTCGGATAGGTATTTCGGCTCTTGCTTCTTGGACATGCCCGGATAGTAGACAATGCTCTTCTCAATAACTTTGAAAGCCGGCTCGATGTTGTCTGTTTGGTAGGCTAGCTTCGTCAGGGCTATATGGTGAGAGGTCAGAATACTGCCGGTCGGATCAAGCCTCAGGAGCGCCTTCGCAAGGACATCGACGGCAATGGAGTGCTGTCAGCGACAATATTAGCACCATAATAGTCGACATCATGGGGTAGATGCCTTACCGGAAAAACCAAGCCGTTGCCTACACGATTTAGTAGAGTGGAAAACGACGATCCACAGTATCGAATTTGTCGAGGATCGAATGTGAGAAGGAATCGTAGGATATGATCGACGAGCTCATCGGAAGGAAGGCCAGCCTGGCCGGTCTGGTTTATTAGGACGTCAAGAATGACGAGATATGCGACCGAGTGTGTCGCGGGGGTCAGGAGCTGCAGAGATTAGCATCAGAGAATCACGGTGAGGACCATGATGTGTTTACCTCTAGGAGTTGCACAGCATGTGTGGCTACCACTGATGTCTTCTCCTCGAACAGCCTGTTGACTCTCTTGAGGTATTGATGAATCGTCTTGTCATACTGCTCGTTGGAAGTCGGGCCATCCTCAGGCGGGAACGCCAGGAGGGTCGCTGCAGCGTGGTCCATCTTCGACTCAGATACAGAGAGTGCTCCTAGAAGATACAACGAGTCGAGATTGAAAGGACCAGATGAAGTCTGTGGATGAGTGAGTATGGCGAGGCCGGGTGGTTTGCAGCTGCATTACGGCAAAACGAAGCTGTAGGAAGCTTATTACCAGTGGTGAACCAAGCTGCAGGCGGTTTACTCCCTGTCAGGACCTGGGTATTTCTCTCCGTCCTCCGATGCTGTCACGAAGCAGCCCCGCGGCGAGGCAACAAAGGTCCCAGCCTGGTGAGAGCTTGCGACAGGTGGGACCAGCCGAAAATCAGCCGAAGACAGCTGGCAGCCCTGAGTAGCACCTAAGTCAAGTGGGGCGAGAAATAGCTTGAAAATGGCGGGGAGCTTCTTGGAGGGGTACTTTGGTCAGTACGTGGGGTGTCTATCGGCGTTTTCGACTTTTCAAGCTTTATCTAAACCTCAGAAGAGACTTTCCATATAATTCTTGTAAGTGATTACAACTCTTGTCTATTTAGCTTTCGAAGGTTTTCTGGTTCTTGTTTTTTATTGCATGTCTGATCTGGGCTTGTGCTTTTTCTCAATAGCAAGATTTAAGCTCACCTTATTTAGATACTCGAACCTTTTCAGCGAAGACGACCCGGATAGGGGCTGATTAAGGGGTATACTCGACATTACCTATCTCATTAGAAGGACCTCAGAATTCAGCAAAATATTTGAGGATCTTCATTATCAATATGCCACTACAAGAGAGCTACGAGCTCCCGGCAGCGGCAGACTTCCATGTCCACTTGCGGGACGGAAACATGTCCGCGGCCGTGGTGCCAACCGTCCGCCAGGGAGGTTGCAATGTGGCCTACGTAATGCCAAACCTAGTACCTCCAGTCACAACGGTTGCTATGGCGCAGGAGTACAAGTCTCGATTAGTCGCATTGGACCCCAGTGTCAATTATCTCATGACGCTCTATCTGCACCCTTCAATCACCCCAGACGTTGTACGCGAGGCCAAGAAGGCAGGCATCGTTGGCATCAAGAGCTATCCTGCCGGCGTCACGACCAACAGTGCCTCGGGCGTCTTAGACTACGAGATGTTCTATCCCGTGTTCGAGGCTATGCAAGAGGAAGGCCTCGTCCTCAACCTCCACGGCGAGTGCCCTAGTGACCAAAAGGAAATTACTATCCTCAACGCCGAGTCCAAGTTTCTTCCAACCCTCAAGAGCTTGAACGAGCGATTTCCACGCCTGAAGATTGTTTTGGAGCACTGTACTACTGCGGATGCCGTGAAAACTGTCGAGGCCTGTGGTCCTACTGTAGTCGGTACTATCACGGCTCACCACCTGTAAGTAATTGACCTTTCTATGGAGGAGATGGTGGGCATTATTTCCCACCGTTTCTTATCACATGGACTTCCGGGCGGTCTGCTGATACTGGGTAACTTGCTGTAGGTTCTTGATCATCGATGATTGGGCTGGCGATGTTGTAAGTTTCCTCGCACTTGTGTCTCCGCCGCGCGGACAGCCGTCTAACATGAAGGTAGTTCTGTTATTGCAAGCCAGTTGCTAAGGTTCGTGCCTGATGAGTTCCGCATCGTTTATTATGACTCATTGACACTGGCGTAGCTACCAATTGACCGTAATGCCCTCCTCAACGCTGTTGTGCGCAGCAAGGGCAAGTTTTTCCTCGGAACAGATTCCGCGCCACACCCACTGGAAGCCAAGAAGGGCCTAAAGTCTAACACAGCTGCCGGAGTCTTCACTCAGCCGTACTGTGTTCCTTACGTTCTCACTGCTCTTGAGGACGCTGTCAAGCGGGGAGACATTGAGGAGGAGGCTATCACTCAAGAGCTGCTAGAAGGTTTCCTCGGGGGCTACGGTCGGAAATTCTACGGAATTGAGTCCACAAACGAGAAGATCCGGGTCAGTAAAGGCAACGAGGTTATTGTTGACTCGATAAAAGGCGACGGTCTAGAGGTGGTACCCTTCAGGAATGGTAAAACAACATGGAGTGTGCATTGGTTATGAGTAAAAAAGCTACGTACGTTTGCTCAAAGCAAAGATGCTGTGCTATCAGGGGCTCACCATTGCCTGCGATCCATTGCTGGTAGGATGCTCTATATTACAGGGTCCGTCCGCATGGGGAGACATTTGTGATCGAATCATGCCATTCATTGCCAGCCCAAAGCATTCTTCATGACTCCAGATCGTATCCTTCCATTGATGGCCATTACTTTCATTTCCTTCGTGAGAACATAACATTTGACATGACAGATGAGCAATAGTGAGATGCTCGTCCTAGTTGAGTTTGGCTCCCTGCTCGGGTTCCTCATCCTCCTGATCGTTATCATGGGGATCCAAGGATCCCAGTAGAGCATATGGGTTGGACTGCGGAATGGTGCTTCGGGGTGGAGAGCTCAAGGGAGGTGACTGAGGGAACAGGACGGTGTGCTTTGGCTCCTGGTCCCCTCTCGGCGGAGGAGCAATGGGGCCGAATGGAGATGTCAATTTACCTATCGATAATATGAGTAATCTGTGACAAGGAGATGCTACCAGAAATACATACCCGATCCACGTCCAGCAGGAACCGGGCCGCGTTTGCTATAGAATAAGGCAGTGATTGGGGGTGGTGTAGTCTCTCTGTCGGGGTGAACTGGCTCAATTCTACGCCAAGATCCAGCATACTGAGGCCCGCTCGGAGGTTGAGGCCTACCACCTCGTCCAGGTGGGGGAGGTAGCGCAATAGGGGCATCCGATTGCTCGTTGACGGGGCGTTGTTTATCTGCCTGCAACTTCTTCCACCAGGCAGGATAGCCATGGAAGAGACCAAGCTTCTCCTGTGTCTCCTTGTCCGTCGGCATCTCGTGCTTATATTTGCAACCCTGCTGGGTGAAAGCACAGGTTCCGTCGTGAATCCATTTGTCGCAATAGATTTTGATCTTCTTCGGGGCTGCATTGTTGGGTGGAGGCGAAGAAGCAATAATGTTATCGATGCGAGACTGACAATGATATTTCGTGTTAGCAATGGAATTTCTTAGTGAAACGAGAAAGCTCTCACCTGGATCAGATCCGGCTGAGGAGGGACGCTGGTGACCTGCTGTTCGTTTCAGTTAGCGCTCGCTCACTCAAGTCTCACCTAGGGAAATTTTTCAACGCACCGTGACCTGGACGCGCTGGCCATTATTGAGTTGACTGTTTGGTTCAGGCATTCGAGGTGTTGGAAGGACAATTAACCCCGACCGATCACCTTGAAGGGGCGGGATATTCTTGAGCGGTGGCAACATGTCAACTGGTACCAGACGGGTGTACTGTCCATCGCCTCGATCGTAGCAGTAGCCGTAGATACGATCCATATCGTGGTCTGACACCAGAGTGTCTGGCAACTTGCTCAACATATTGACTGGTTCTGGGGCCCCAAAACGGGTGAATCTGTTGAAGCCTGGGGGAGTTGTTGGAGATGGAAGCGTGCTGATCTCACCAGTCGGTGAGTCGATGGCAAGGCCAAAACTGTTTGACGAAGCAGCGTGATCTCGCCAGTTTGTGGAAAGTGATATGCCAGCGGACGCTACCGTAGAGGACGTCCGGAAGCTTCGTCCCAAAGTGGTGATCCGATCATCCCCTTCCGTATTTGCGTTGGCACGGTCGGCCTGCTCGCTACCGATATGGAACAAGCTTCGCTCCATCTCTGTAACTGATGTGACGTGGTTTGAGTGGTTCGGTCTCGAGAGGTTCAGCTTGCTTAGCAAATCGTGAGGTAAGTCAGGAGAGGTATCGCGGCTGGATGTGACGGAGTTCTCTGATGAGTAGGAGGTGTCGGAGCAGGACATGGAAGATCCAAGAGAACCTTGAGTATTTAAGAAAGAGTCCATGATAAGAAACCTGCAGGAAGTAGGGCGAACAGCGCAGAGGTGCAAACGGAGACTGCCACACACTATTTATATCACAGTCAACCCCGGGTCATCACAACAGATTACCTGAAAGCCCCAAGTCTAACCGGGAGATGTGAAGCCCTTGCGACTGGCTAAGAACTGTTGAAACATGTGAGACTAAGGCATGAAGGGAGAGTGCCTTTATGAAGGCTGAGATATTCTTTCACGGCCATTCTCGTGCATAGCCTGGCTTGTGAGGCAAACGCTGAGCTCAAATAAGGTTCTATACATCGATCGGTTACGTGCAGGCAAGCTTGTGTCTCCCACGTGACAAACACTGGTGTCCAGCCAAAACACTTTGCTCAGTGAAGCACATTACCTTTCAGGGCCATTTTGTTAATAACTTATTTCATGTTTGAGGAGGCTGGTTGCCTCGATATGTCTTAGCTACCTGTAAAGCAAATCTATGTGATTCACTAATGTTACAGAGGGAAACAAAGAAGACGAGCTTGCTCAAATGACCAACAAGAGCAATCTTGAAGGCTGCCATGGATTTGAAGTGCAAACCACATATCTAGCTAGCTAAGTCCTTCGTGTTGTCTTCTTGACTTGATGTTCCGCGATGTCTCATGTGGAGTCCTGGTTTGAACTCAGGCCTTCAGCAGCACTCTCGTAAGCTCGTTGCACAATCTGCCTTAGCTTCGAGGCAAGAAAGCGCTTCTTCGCCTCAAAGAGAGCTTTGTTGCCAGCAGAAGGTGCTCTGAGTGCATCGAGTGCTAATCGCAAGGAAATCTCAGAATTAAGGTTGATTTCTGGGCAATCGGGGGATGTATGTTGTGTGAAGCATTCTTGACATATGTTCCCAGGTTGTGCCACCCCGTCCCTTGGAATCATATTTGACGAAAGAACGGCCGAAGAAGGAATCGGAGCTATGACTCCATTGGCGTGTCCTGGTTGGCCGGCTGCTTGACCGCCGAGACGTTGTTGAGTTCCTGTTGGGGTTGAGAAGCCCCAAGGGGCATCATATGGTGCTGGGGCTGATGATAGCCACTGGTTGTGTTGATTAGTGACGGATTGGTCGGGTGGGCGGAGGGACATGTGCTGGAGGAATGGTCCTTGTGGGCTTGAGTATGGAGGAGCGTCATACGGCAGTGGTCCCCGCATGAGTGTACCGCGTTCTGAGAAGGAGTTGCCATTGTTGTAACTAGGCATGGCATGGGCTGTGGTAGGTCTTTGGACAGGTCGACTAGAGATGTATTCGACTTCGGGCCCTTGTTTTGGTCCATTACCCGGAATTCGGGGCTCAAGATTTTGCGGCCGGGCATCGCTGGGCCCTTTCGGCCCTTTGGGACGGTAGACGGGGGTGTGATTTTGGGCTTTCGGGGGTTCACTGGCGATTGCGAGTTGTGCTGAGAGTCTGCGTTAATCGTCTTGCTTCTAGACTTGCTTGTCTCCTTTTCCGACGCTGAGACCTTAAGGGGTTTCTGTGGTGTCGTACCTTTCTTAGCCGCTTTACCCTGTGACTTCCGTGAGTTGGCCAATTCAGTGGTTGCAACATCCTGCACTTCCTCAGGCAATACCTTGCCGGCGCTGCCTTCGTCTGAGTTCTCTCCATCCGAGGCCATGTCGTTATTAACGAAGTCAGCGTCGGCATCGGACCCCCCGTCTTCTCCCCGTGCAGGCATTCCATCTTCAAGACCATAGTTCGGTCCAGTGTACTGCACTGCCTGAAGTGATGTCAGTCAGTCTCGAAGCACAGGATTGTTGGCGGATGTTGCACTTACTCGGCGTCGACGGCCTCCACGGCCTAGAATCTCCTTGTTGAGCTCCGCCTCGCGACGAGCTACCTCCTCTCGCTCTTTAAGAATATTCTCCCAGAGGCTGGAGTTGATAGCCTCAGCTTCTGTGTCAGCCTCAATATCATCGGTCAATTCGCCTTTTTCATTGGCCCAAACACGAGCTAGAGAGAACTGCGTTTCAGCAGATTCATCCTCGCCTGTTGCAGTTGCCTCGATTTGTGATCTGTCGAGAAGCTTATCCACGGATGCGGAATCATATTTGATGACGTCTTTCTGGTTCTCGCTGAACAGCGCCTCGGCACCATGCTTCAGAATTGATTCCAGATCGTTGCCCGCGTCGTCCTGGTCATCCATTGTCTCAATCAAAATGTGGTCAAGAGCCATCTTCTTGCGTCCAATCTGCATGATCTTCTCCTCCACGCTGCTCTTGGTCATCAATTGGAAGCAGAGAACTTTGTTCTTCTGACCTATTCGGTGGGCACGCGACAAGGCCTGGATATCCTGATGGGGATTGAAGTCAGGGTCGAGGATGATGACAGTGTCTGCAGTCGCCAGATTTATTCCGACACCGCCAGCCCGAGTCGACAGTAGGAAGGCAAATATATCGGATCCAGGCTCGTTGTAGGCATCAATGCGCTTTTGCTTTTCCAAACTACTGATGTTTCCATCCAATCGTCGATAGCTATACTCAAGTCCTGAGAGAAAATCTTCAATGATGTCAAGTTGGTCCAAGAACTGGCTGAAGATAAGCACACGGTGGCCGCGTTCCTTGAGCTTCGGCAGCATGATCTCAAGCAACACCAGTTTAGATGATGCCTCGATGAGATTGCGAAACATGACTTCTGGACTAGTGCTCTTGTCCTCAATTGCCCCACTGTACATGAATGGATGGCAAAGACACTTCCTCAGCTGCATGAGGATGTTATTGAGACTGCCGCGTTCAGTGGCCTTCATCTTGCTATTCGCAAAGATGGCACGTATGAGATCCGGATTCTTCGCCATGATTGACTTGCACAGTTTCTCCTGCACAACTGACATCGTGACTGGTACGATGATTTGAGCCATCGGAGGCAGGAAATGCAAGACTTGAGCTTTGGTGCGTCTGAGGAAATATGGTCTGAGCATCTTATGAAGCACTGGAAGATTTTCCGCGGTGATTTCCTGATACTCCTCATCAAGTTGAGCTGCATTCTTCGAGCTGTCGATGAATTGTAAGAGGTTGAAGAGCTCTCGCTTATTATTCTGAAGCGGAGTGCCCGTGAGTAGGAGACGGAAGGGAATCTTCATCGCACGAAGAGCGAGATAGAGCAGATTTTGGTCGTTTTTCAGTCTTTGGCCCTCGTCCACGACCAGCCCTGCCCAACTGACATTCTTGAATAGAGGCTTAGTGCGTTCATCCTGGGCAGAATCATAGGACATCACGACGACATGTGCTCTCATATCCCTAACGCCATCCGGGAATAGCTCATGATCGTAAGCAAGCTGCTGAGGCTTCTTGCCGCCGTGATATGTCACCACGCGAAGGTCAGGGGCCCATTTCTTCAGCTCTCTTCGCCAGTTGGGACATGTGGAGTTCGGAACGACAATGAGGAAAGGCCAGCACTGATCTTTGTTATTGATTGTCATAAGAAAGTCTTGGGAAATGGGTTCTTCTCACCTTTGGATTCCGTTGAACCAGAAACGTAATCAGGGCGATTACTTGTACTGTCTTTCCAAGACCCATCTCATCAGCTAGGACAGCACTCACTCCTTGATGAAAGCTGTAAAGAAGCCAGTCTACACCGTCGACTTGATAATCCATGAGGTCTCCGCGCAGAAGACCCCCGAGCCGCTCGGGGTGTTTCTTCAGCGCAATGTGCTCTTCGAAGTTCTCCACCGCACGAAAGCTATCGATCCGTTCCTTAATCTTGATGGCTGACTCAGTCTTGAAGTACTTGCCGTTCAAGAACTCATAGAACGCAGCTTCGAACGACTTCCAAATAACTCCGGAGTCTCGAGGTGGTGGAGAATCCCAAACTACATCGTCGTAAGCCAGGCCTTGGAACTTGACCCGAACTTTCCGGATGTCTGAAATTTTCTGAAATTCCTCCTCCTTCGTGCGTGCACGAATCTGACCGTTGTATTTCACGTTCAGGATCACGTCTGCGAGTAGATATTCCTCGGGGATAGCATTCTTCTCATCCCATTTCGGCAGAAGGTTCTCGCCCTCGTTGCGCTTAGGAAAGGTAGTCCGCATGGCGGCTGCGGTGACACCCCAGACCCACGGACCCGGTTTCCAAACGCAGTGAAAGTAGGATTTATTCTCCCACTTGATGAGATACTCTTTAGCATCTTCCACGAGATCATTCCATGTCTTGTCGGGCGTGTACGTCGTACGGTCAACAGGTCTCCAGGCAACCAGGACCTGGACTTTCTCACGCATGTCAAGACAGTCCTTGCACTTCCACTCGATAGAGTATTCCTTAAGCCGCTCTGATCGGATGTTGTCGCTCACGATATCGCCCTCCTGATACGAGGGTGACGGGAGATGCTCGAAGTGGTATGCGCATTTGCATGATGTGCAACGAAACAATACATTCTTTGCATTGTTTATGAGATTTGGGGAAACTGGATATGCAGGGTCAACCCCATTGTTCGCTATCCTCTCCTTTTCCTCTTGTTTAGGGGTCTTCTTCGGAGCAAATGGTTTGCAGGCCGGACCTTGAGTCTTGCATGACAGACATGTGTCGAGGTTTGGAGAGTTCAAGTCTCTCTTCTTGTGGAAAAGGGTACAATGACGACATTGCAGAACGAAGTACTCTGGGCCAACCTTTGTCACAAAGTGCTCTCTCGCACTTCGGTAGCCAAGGCACACCTTGTGATACATCAGGGAGCATCCTTGGCATGGAATCAATGGTCCCTTTCCACCCGCTAAGCTGTCTCCGCCGCAAGTATCACAGGTATCGCAATGGACATCCTTGAAATCGCTGACATTGAGGGGCTCAAACACCTCTTTGATGCTGATGATTTTGGGTGCTGTTGGCACCTTGTCATCATCGGCATAGAGTTCTTCGTCCATCAGAGGATCCTTCATGTTCTTGGTGGTCTTGGTAGTTCGGCCTGAGCGACGCACTGGCTCATACTCGACTGAAGAGCCACGATGAGTCTTTGAGGCGGGCTTGTTCCTTGTTAAACGTTTCTTGCGCTTGGTACTCTTGTTGATAGGCTGCAAATCAGAGCGCACAATATCGAACGGGTCGTCATCGTCTGACTGAGCAAGCTCATCGGCATCCTCATCCTCATCATGAAGGGGCCTACTCTTCTGGAGTGAAATCGACTTCCTTGCTCTAAGTTTGCGACCATTGTGCGAAGTATTGCTTTCCATGGACGATGCATCTTGGCGCAGTGTCGATGTCATCCTAGAAGAATTGCGCAGGCTTCGCCGAGCTGGGACATCTTTGGTACCCTGTACAAGCCGACGGCGTTTTGAAGTAATCACGCCCTCATCTGCATCCTCTTCAGGCATCATCTCGTCGTCGATGTCGCTGGCTGGGCCGATTTCGTAATCTGAGTCACCCTGAGATTTGCGTTTCCTGGGCTTATTGTTGAAACCCAGTTCCAGGTCTCCGCCGCCGAAATCGAAATCCATGCCTCTTTCGTAGAGGTTGAAAGCCTTGTCACCGTTAGGTAGATCAAGGAGATCGTCGAAGGCGACCTATCCTTAGATTTAGTAACCTGGACGTCTTCCCAAGAGCAGAGAAATAGAAATCGAAAAAGGGCTTGGGTCAAAAGGAAAGTTGGGAACAGACGGCAAGCTTTGGGGGTTATATGAGAGCGATGGGCGCGACTGAAGGGGGTTGCACGTGACATGGTAAACAACAGACGAAAGTTGTCTTTGGGGAGGAAAGGAAGGTGCAGCAGGTGATCAAGGATAATCAGGTGAACCTGAGTGCAAGTTCAGGACAGAAAGACAGCACGTGCTCATATCATACCATCTTTAATCAGTGGGATCGCTTTCATAGAAGGAGCTTTGATCACAGTTGCAGGGGCTCTTAAAGGGGAAAATGATAGGGGCAGTTATTGTCACGATCTGCCAAAAGAAAGCTGTGACGGGGGGTATCGTAGAGAGAAGAGGAGTCGCTGGGCAACGGAAGATTCACAGTGCCCTTGTGTAATGGGGTTGAAGGTGGGAAAACGAGATGGAGAATGCAATATCGGGCAGAAGGGAGCACACAATTTAAAGAGATGGTCGCCCTTTTAGAGGATGCTCAGACGAAGGGCCGCTTCCATCCAAGGCAAGAGTGATATTCCAACGTGTAAATTGTGCCTTGTGAAGGAAAAAAATGGGAAGGAGGAAGGGACATGCGGTTTTTGAAGGCGGAGATTTGGATGCCGATAGTTATCCAGGGAAAGTCTCATGTCTGCTTCCCATGACCCATAGATTCACTCTTACCTGGTCAAGCGTGCCATCTTCGTACTCTATGCTCCACCACGACTCTCCTGAGAGGGACGGTATTTGGCCCAGCACTTTGTAGACTTCGAAACCCGGTCGTATGGGGATGTACTCCGAACGAACATGGGGTGGCAAGGAACGTATAACGACCTCCAAACGACCACCTGGTTTCTTGACAACCTCTCCTCCATTGGCCATGTTCTCATATTTGACATCATGGGACTTGTGATCTAATGGAAGTTGGTCCATCTCGACATTGGGTAGGCTCTCAGGGTCGACTTCAACCTCAGAGGCATGACCCATGTCTGCTTCGGGCATTGGCTGATAATCGTCATCGTCAGAGGAAGAGTCGCCAGCAAAGGTAGTTTCGAAGTCAAACGTTGCCGGGAGCATAACGATATCTTCGTCCGCCGTCTCCTGTTGCTCCGCCATGATCGCTTCCCTCGAGCGCAATACGCTCTGACATGCTTTTTGAGATGGGTCAGCTAGTATCAAATGTGTTGGCGCATCGTCATATGGCGAGAGACAGCTCCACCTTCTCGATATCTTTGTCGCACAGTTATGGAGAGCCCATAACAATCAAGAAGCCTGTGAAAGAAGTGATTGTCGGCAAGAATAGTCGCAGTCCAAGTTGTCAATGAAAACGCGGTCGCGTCAGAATGAAAGATCTCGAAGTCTAAAGGTACCTTGGAGCCCCACATCAGCCAGAGAGTAGGCTAGATACTCTAGCTTCAACGCCTCTAAAATTTAGCGCGACACCTGGGTGAACCCTGCTGCTTATCACTGATAAGATAGAACCTACTAAAAATTTGGAGAAGCAGTCAAATACCATCCTACATACAGCCTTCTTTTCACCATTTTCACTCCATCACTTAGATCCTAAGGGTGTTGTAATCCACACACACAATATGCGATGAGCCTCGCTACTCATAGGGTTCTATTGAACTCCTTTCACAATTCCTGTCTGCTCCCTTGTTCTAAATCGCTGGTCCTGAAAAGACAATCTTCCCTTTCTGCTATTCACCGTGGCATTCGACGGTCTGAGAAAGCAAGACCGCAGGGCTTCAGACCAGCACAAGATCGAAATCCTTTCGCAGCTTTAGAGGAAGCGTCTACACCATCGACATTTGCCGAAAGGCGGCGTGCAAGAGCCGCCGCTCAACCTACATTCCGCATCCGCAAGGGCAAGAAGGACATCACGGAACTACCGAAGGAATTGCGGCCACAGACGAGGAGTTCCCGATTTAATGACCCAGAAAAGGGCTTTGGAAAGAAGAGCTTTGTGTATCAATTGAAACATGGAGAACTTGGGGCAGAGCTCAAAGCTCTTCAGGAGCAAAAGAAGGTCATGGAGGTAGCGCTGAAGCCGAGGAGAACAGCTTCATCAGAACGGCCAATTCGCAGGGACATAGCCTCTTATCGGCAAGACAGACGAGATGGGCGAGAAGTGATGCGGCAGCCCAGAGCTTCAGAGCAGTCAAAAGACCGGAAACCGAGGCAATTGGACGACCCGATATCCATCCCCTACACGACAGCCGCGTCCCAGTTCCTGTATGGGACCTCAACAGTCGAAGCCGCGCTCAGAGCCGGTCGTCGGAAGTTATACAATCTCTACGTATACAGCGGGTCCAATCGCCAAAAGGTTGTCCAAGACCGCCTGATTGAGAAGCTGGCAGAGCGATCGGGCGTAAGAACTATCAGAGTAGAGGAGCAGGGCTTGCGGATGATGGACAAAATGAGCGGAGGGCGGCCTCACAATGGATACATACTCGAGACATCGCCTCTTCCGCAGTCTCCTCTGAGTGGACTCGGGCCCGTTTCGACAGATGAGGATAAGCCGGGCTATAGTCTCATTCTTGGGCACCAGTCTCATGAGGAGGCGCAAGTGAACGGCGCTGTCAACTTCATGAAGACATCTTCCAGGACACATAAACCGCTTGTGCTCGTTCTAGACCAGGTTTTGGATCCAGGGAATCTTGGTGCTATACTTCGAACAGCAAGTTTCCTGGGGGTTAGTGCTGTGGCTATATCAAAGAAAAACTCGGCCTCTCTCACGCCAGTGGCACTCAAAGCTTCCGCAGGAGCGTCAGAAACTCTGACCCTCTTTTCAATTGAGTCGCCCGCTGGATTTCTCCTTGAGTCAAGGAAAGCTGGATGGCAAGTTTATGCTGCTGTTCCTGCAAGCTCACGGTCGAAACGTCGCTCACAAGTTGACACGCTCGAGGTGGAGGAGTCCGATCCCCTTTCGAAAGATCCATGCATTCTCCTCGTTGGTAGTGAGGGAGAAGGTTTATCCAAAATCTTGAGAGACAAGGCCGATGTTGAGGTCAACATTCCCAACAACTCAGGTTCAGCCCTTGTTAACAGCCTGAACGTCAGTGTAGCGACGGGTCTACTATGCTCCTCATTTCTAAGAGGGCAGGAAAGGGCTCGATTAGTCCGTACCAAAGAGGAGAACGCACTTTTCTAGAGAAAACCAGTGATGGGGAATCTTTCAGCTGGCCCATATGTACATAATTGATATAAAACCCACAACTCCCTATGTATATACTAGACAACACGTGTATAATAATGTAATACTCAATAATGTGAGATGTCAGATATTTTGCCATCGACTTCCTTCATTACCAATACCTCAAGCGCAATTGAGTCGCAATTGACAACTTTGTCCCTGATATCTGGACTAAGCGTCTTTTATGTCTAGGCTATTCTCACCTTGGAAGCTATCCGTGTATGCTAAATTATTTCGTTTACTCTATATTACGGAGGACAATCGGTTGGTTGTAAATATATAACTTAGCAGACATTTCATCGCCTCCCTAGAAAGTTGGGAGGAGCATGGAAGGTAAACGGAAATCAGTCAAAGATCTGAAGTGTGCGCTTGTTAGAAAGGTCTTACGAGCAACTCGACAAGATCGCAAATCGACTTAATTTGAGCTTCCACCTTTCCAAAATGACTGGATTGTTCTGTAATTTGAACGCTTGATTTGCACCTTCAAAATAAAAATTTATATCCCAAACAATTCATTCTTTTCATCCGCTGTGACGGCGACTCGTACTTGGATCTGCAATGCCTGGAAACTGCTTTTCTATGATTGGCAGCTTCCTAGTGATGTGTTACCAGGATCCCCTGGCTCATCTCCCAGCCACTCGGTAATCCGGGTCTGCAGCCATCCTGCTACCATGACCTAACTTTGTCAAGTATCGTAGGCTTGTGAAACTGGGTTTCCTTCTCGGTGCTCGATCATGCCTTTGAAAGCTTTCGTTTCTTGACAGTCCTTGTCGTTGGGTTCGTCCATTGGCCTTCGCAACTACTGATTTGGGCGGAGTTAGAGCTCTATTGAGCGTCACCAAGCTACACCTCAGCTTTCAAACTAAAGGTGCCAAACAGAGCAAGCTCCTGCCTAAGCTTCCAAAATGCGACTCCTCCGCCATATCCTTGGGCTTCCGAGCCCTCTCCTGCTACTTGTAATATCCCAAGCCGAGGCCAATGAGTTCAGCGCATCTGCACAGCGGCTTCCCACTGCGATCCGGAAGATGGGCCTGGACGAGGGTGAGAAGTTCCTTCATGAATACTGCGCATTCGGAGGCGACAACAATATCGCGCAAGCTGTTTTCCAACCTCGAGCGCCGGTTCCTGCTAGTGGGCTCCTCAGTCCAGAGGAAGCGAAACTACTAGAAGCAAACTCCTCGGCTGCTATACCTTACCGACCACCATTCGCGCCGCATTTCGAGTCGAGTTTACATGGCGAACAAGGACTACTGGGGTGGGATCTGGTCCGGAGGGCAGCGAGTGCACTCGCCAGACTCGAGCGGCGGCAATTTTCTTGCCCAACAGGAACATCAGATTGCTCGGCTATCGGGTACCCGTACAGCTGTTGTCAATCTGGCTTAACATGCGTCCAGATAGAGGACACCGGCCTGGGGCCAGTAGGCTGCTGTCCATCTGGCTCATCTTGCGGCGGAACGATTGCTTGCTCTGGGTCACAAGTGGGCTGTCCATCCGACATGGGAGGCGGCTGCTGCATCGATGGTTTCGTTTGTGAGGGAGTAGGATGTGAGTTTCTCTCGCGATCGGTATCGCGCCATAGCACACTCAGTTAACTTGACTAGGCGTACGGAGTCAAACGACTCAGGTTACAGGAACATTGGTCACTCTGACGAGTACTGCGACCACCGTTATGGACTCAGGATCACCAACAACTGTCGTAGTCACAGTTACTATCACTCAGACGCCATCGCAGAGTACAGCCACACGAACCACGACCCAGGTGGTGACGCCGAGCGAGACGTCCACAAGTTCTACGACAACTGGCCCAGGTGCACCAGTTCGGCCAACTCTGACATCTTCTACGACGGAGGATTCCTCGTCAGAAAGTTCGTCAGTTTCCGGGTTCTGTCCAACCGGGTACTATGGCTGCCTCGCTACGGCAGGAGGTGGCTGTTGCCAAACAGGCAGAGACTGCTCCACAACATCATGCCCACCAGTTTCTTCAACGACCATCATATCGAGTGGCGTCACGGTGGTCGTTCCTGTTACCGATATCCCGTCGTCAACCTCCGCCACCTGTGCGAATGGGTGGTTCCTCTGTGGTTCGGAAGCTGGGCCTATAGCGGGCTGCTGTCCCAGTGGGTATAACTGTGGCACAGCGAGCTGTACGCTTGTGACGGCGAGCGCGACGGCAACAGTGCAGAAAGAGCTTCCAGGCACATCCGGGGCCAGCGTAGGGAAAAGCAGGATGATGACAACCTTGATGATACCCGCTTTAGCATTTGCATTTGGATTTACGATGATCTAACGACCTAATGCATGGCAAGAATTATTGCTTTAATCTTAGTTATGTAGATATAGAGAGCGTTGGGAGAAGAGTCCAGCTGCTTTTGTCAATACAAATCGACTTCATAGATCGAGCTCCGTTAGAAATTAGAACACCATGGCTATGGTAATTTGTTGACCTAAGAAGTATTTGGTTGCCTCCTTCTCAATCCTATAAGCTAACGTATATTCAGTAGCAAGTGACAGGTCTTGTCTTTATTGCTGAGCCAAGTCCATACTGCTCAAAAGAAGGTCCACCAACCGGCGGCAAATGTCAGTATTCCTGGCAAAGCGAGGTCACCTCCTAACATACTCGCGGCATTCGAGGTCGACGATGGTGTTGCGCTATTGGTAGCCGATGGCGTAGAGCCAGCCGTTCCACTCCCGCTTGTGGTCGAGGTCGGAGTTGGAGTTGCTGTCTCGTTCAGGGGCGACATGACCTTATCCAAGACATGAATGAGACCATTGTTCGTCCTGCGCGAAATCTGTCAATCGACATCCGTCATACTGTATTATCACAACTCACAGGACATTAGGACTGATGACTTTGGCATCATTGAAGTAAATGTCATTTCCCTTGATCGTCACCAGGACATCCAAACCGGCAGCAGATTCGAGCCTCGTGCCGTCGACAAGATAATCTGTGTACGCCACTTCGTGCAGTGTATGGAATCTAATTGAACTCATCAGTCAGAAAGCCTCTATAGCCCTTCAGGCCTAGCACTTAAACATACAAGAGCGCGTTCTTCAATTCCGTCTGGTTGAGATTCTGATCCGGACTGCCAGCATCCTGAAAGGCACCGGTGCTCGGAGCCAGGCATGTCACGTTCGGTGTGTGATCGAGCACGGGATATAACGCAGACCTGTTGAGAGCGTTGTCCAGGCCAGTCAAATCTCCTGAGATGCTACGGACCGTAGTGGAACACGTCGTTGGTGGTGTCAGAATGCTGTGAGGATTGTCAACAACGGAGCTTCACAAGCTGATTTCTTCCTGTTCCCTACGTGTCTGTGATTTGGATATATCCCAGAGACCACTGGGCATTCACGGGCTCGATACTCGCAACACTCCCAAGACCGCCCCTGAGGCTGACATTGCTCGTGTTCTGTCTGACCCGCAGCTTCGCAGGGTTGATGGGATCCTTGGAAATGTAGACGACTTGCCCCTGAGCTGGATCTTTGCCGTACTTGTCAACAAGAGCTGGGCCAGCAGTCCGGTTGTTATACTGCTCTTCTCTGAGCAGCGTAGGTACGGTGAGACCACGCGAGTCCGTGAAGTTCTGGCTCGTCAAATTCGCCATCATGATATGATATTTCAAAATGGAGACAAGTCGCTTGTTGCCAATGCCTTCGATAGACACCCCGGTCTCATTGTAGAGCTTCTCGAAAGCATCATTATTTGGGACGAGCAGTGTTATCCCATGAGTCGTATTGGCCGGGAACACAGATGTCAGGGAAGGGTTATCATTGAGCACTTTGCCGAACTGACTGAGTTCTGGGTACTTTGCGATAGTCGTTCCCAAGTCGGCACCAATCTGGCAGTGTGCAATCTGCGAAAGACACAAAGCACTCGCAAAGAGTCTATCCAACCGCATCGTGCTCTTGAATGTAGAAGCTTTATGATACAGTTGAAGCCGCTATTTCGGGTCTAGATTCTGAGGTGAGTTCCAGCTACGCGATGTTTAAGAGCCTTACGTTGTACGAAACACCTTTTTACCTAGCTTTGAGGGACTATCAGCTATTTAAAACTTGTTGACGCGAAGCAAGCTTCAGGGCTGAGGTCCAACCCATTGGAAAATCATACGCAATGGCTTCATCAGCTTCTAGACGACCAGGGAGGACGACAAATGGCATCAGGGAATCACAGCCACCACATTCTCTCAATGAAGCCACCACCTACACTCGACCAACGGGTGGTGGCGTACAATACTACGCATTCAAGGCATAACCGTGCAAAGAAACCGTTGAAGACAAGAGATGTAAGTGTGCCCTAGCTGCTGACCGGCGTTGTGCTTTTCAGCTCGTAAGTAATGGCAACACCGCCATTGGCTCAACCGATGCCAAGACGCGCAACACTGAGTATGAGGCGCTCGTGAAGGCCTAGGACTGGGGAAGTTGTCTGCTGTAGAGCTGATCAAGCTTCAACTCACTTGCAGAAAATTCTTGAACAATTTACATCTTTCGGTACTCTTCTAATTGGACACAGCATATTGAGCAAGCTGGTATTCCACGATTCGATATCAGACGCTTTTGAAGTATTAGATGCAGAGTCAATTCCACAGTCATACTTTCCAAACCAACATCGCGATCCCGCTATCTCGGCTGACATTTCCGAAAAGTCAATGCGGCTAAACCGTCTGTCTTCATTATTTCCAAACAATCATTTCCCACCATTGTTGGTCGTCGAGTAGAGTGCCGTGAGCCGTCGACCACCAATCGGATCTTGGCACGGGCAAAAGGCCGGCCAAGAGTAGGGTGTTTAAGCTTACTCGCTTTGGTAAGGGGCAGCTCCTTTCACGATGTTACATTTCGGAGGGATGGCCTCGCTCTCGGCGCCTTTTACACTTTTGGCCCAGACAATTAGCTGTGCCGCTATTGCTGCCTCCGTCGAGTCAGGCAGAACAGGCACAACCCGGGGGACCCCAATGTCGTCTGCTCATATAGTTGAGGTGCAGGGACATCCTGTTCGTCAATAAAACCAGAGCTCTCGCGTCAATTGCACCTATCTAGTCTCATACCGATCACAAAATGCGCCAATCCGTCTCGTCCCGGAGCCTCCGAGCTCTTGCGCTCCTGCTGCTAAGCTCACAATCGGCCCTTGCATCCTCGCTATCATCGCCGCGCCTGCTCCGGCGCGACGAGGATTATGCCGACGAGGTGTGCAAGCCCTCCACAAGCGCCGACGAGCCAGTCCCGCCATGCGTGTCCATCGAGAACATCGAGGCGCTGTGTACCCCCAACGGCACTGAACCGTTGTACATCGCTGCGCATGCGCAATGTATGTGCGGAGGGAGCTACTTTGCCGAATGGAATGCGTGTCAGGACTGTCTGGAGTTGCACGGACAGCGCTCCGGACGGGACGAGGCTTTCTTCCTCTCTGTCGCCAGCAGCGCCAGCCAAGAGCTCTGCGGCTTCCTGACGTCGAGCGGCGCGGCGACGCCCACGGCCCCCTTCGCCAGCCTCTTCTCCGAGATCGCCAATACGCTGACCCAGCCGACCACGGGCGCGACCGTGAGCTCCGATCGCGCGGTCAGCAAGACGGCCGTGAGCCTCTACTACACCGCCAGCGGATCGCAGGGGCCGGGCAAGATCACCGGCAGCGAAACGGCTGCCACGGCGACGGGCGGGCTTGTGACAGAGAGTCAGAGCGTTACGACGACGGCGACGGGTGGGTCAGCAACCGGAACGGCCAGCGATGTTGGCTCGACGGCGTCCTCTGCTTCAGCCAACTCGGCATCATCCACGACGACAGCTGCTGGTAATGGTGCGGCTCCGACGGGCGTAGGTAGCAACCTGCTCGCTGGAGTGGTCGGTCTTGCCATTGCTGGGGCGATGTACTGAGTCACTCTGCTTTCTGGCCGCCGTTTGTCGATCGGGTCCCAAGATGCCAGTGTCTTGTGTTATCGCCGTCTGCGAGTTGCTTGAAGGATTACCTCGAATCTAATGTCAGTTGAACAAGAGTAATGTTGAGCACTTCATTGTAAACAGAAAGGAGTTTCATATGGTGCATGTTGAGAGGCACAGGGGCCAGGTGTGGACGTTTTTATGACAAGAACATGTAAATGCTAGAGCATGGAGTAATGGATATTTAATTTTGGGGTTGAAAGCGTCAGCTTTGTCTACCTCCTTAATGAGATGGATCTACCACATAATTACGCTTTGGAATAGGGCCTTTGACCTAGCAACTTGTGTGCGGATCTCCTATTTGTCCCAACGTCTAAACGCAATCCCGCAAGTCAATTCTTTTTATTTCACCATTGTACCAATTCGAAGCACATTTACTCAGGCATGTGCTCGAAGGGCTTTGCGAGGTGCTCCTGACAGAAAGGGAGCTTGCCAACGGTCCAGATCTCGGTGTCCTGTTCCAATGGGCCACGCAGTCAGCAATTCGTTTCATGAACATTGTATTTTATTTTTGAGAGAATTGATTGCAAACTCACCGGCTTCAGGGTCTTCTTGATGTCAGAATCGAGAGTGCCACCCTTGATCGCAATGATCTCCGGGGCGGCATCGGGGTCGTGGGCGATGGGGGAACCGCACTCGGAGCAGAACAGGCGATGCACGTCTTTGCCAGAGCTGCCGGCCTTTGCGTAGCTCTTGATGGGGCCGGAGAAGTTCACCTTGTCCTTGGGGACGACGCAGACCAGCGCTATCGGTCGAGTCAGCCACGTCAGTTCACATAGGATTCTGGCTGGAGATGCAATGAAACCGGTGACTGCGCTCGCATGGAGCCAATCGGCACCCTTGTCCTCGCAGAGCCGTGACGAGATCAGTGGTGGCGGTCTGTCCAGCTAAGGCAAGGAAAGGTAGTGAGGGAGCTGAAGTGCGGGGGCGGGGCATCGCATCGACTATCCTGAAGGTGAAGAGAGGGAAGGAATCGGGTAAGCTTGCGCAACTCACAGTAGGTTGAGCCGCTCTGTCGCTGGCAGTCATCGCAATGGTCATAGCCGGTGACGAGAGGAGCATCGACGTCAATCTTGTAGGTGACAGCACCGCAGAGGCAGTGACCGGAGAGGACCATTTTGATTTTTGTGAGGAGATACGGGATACGGTGTTTCGCTGCTGAGCTCTTGTGTATGACGTAGGTATGTACGGCGTGGCACGATCGAGTATAGCTCTTGGGTTTTGAGTAAGGATTGAAAATGGGAAGTTGACCAGATTAGAAACGGGAGAAATTGTCGATCTTTAAATAAGTAAGTGCCAGGCGGGTGGCTAGAGCGGATGGGATAGGATGGGATGGGCAGATATAATTATCATTATTATTTCTAGAGGAGGCGCCCTGAGGGGGCGGGAGGGGGAGAAGAGCTCCAGCTGTCTTGCTCTTTTGCCTTTCCCCATCCTGCTGCGTCTTGCATGTGGGCAATTGTGGAACCGCGATGTAAGTGATCCGACGCTATGATGAAAATACCTAGCAATCGGCGTCCACTTTGATGACTGCGCTTGACCACACCAAGGGACGCCTCAAAAGATGGTGGTGGGTGAACTAGACTCAGGTAGACAGAACGCTCTGTCCGTTGACATGGCCGTCATGTTATCCCTCAGGTGAAGCATCGTAACCTCCCTCATCTATCTTATCTTATCTTCTCGGTCCCAAGACGCTTAGCTGTGCCCATCAAGCTTCCTTCCAATGCGTGTGTACTCGTAAATACGGCCTGGCAAGCCTTCACTGTCAATCGCCATGATACTTGAGATCTACGAAACTTTGCATCAGAACTTGGGCCCCGGACCACCGAAACTTCGCCATGGCAGTCCTCGGCGGGGCATCACTCTCGAAACCAGCGCCGTAGAAGCACGCCAAGTCTAGCTCCACAGCTTCAAGGAGCTCACAATCCTTCATTCAAAGACCACCTTCCTTCACGAAGCTGCTTACGAGAGGTTGGGCTGGGTTAATTGGAATTCCAGAGTCCAGAGCGGACCCCCCAAAAGAGGAGCCTACAGGAGAATTTGATACTAGTGACAGGTTGCGGGATCGACATGTGGAACATCAAACAATTGCGGGAAGTCTAGATAACAACCCGTACTGTAGGAGGAAGCACCTACATTGAATTGAATTGGCTGTCAACCTTACCTAGGTAGGTAGTGAAGAGGACAGAGCAGTAACCTACAACCAACCATCTTTACTCTAGCTCAGAGACCAGATACAGGAGCTACCCCTCAACGTGGGGCTCAATTATTTGTCATGAGCTTTTCCGCCGTACCCTCACCCCGCCGGCGCCGTCACTTCACCAGCACAGCTCGTGGAGCTTACCTACTGGGCCAGGGGCTGTATTTGGAATTTCGATGACGCTGGTCCTGCAAGATAACCTACCCTGCAGGCGCCATTTAGTAGTCAGCCATGCCAGGTAGCCTACCGCGGGTGCGCTAAGAAGTTCCGAATGTGGGAAGATGCAGCCTGTCTTTCTGACCCGGCAAGCAATTGGAGTTGTAAGTTGAGCGAATCAGCGCAGCTTGGGCTTCCCATTCGGGCATTTCTGCTAAGATTTGGCTGTGATGTCTCTGGGTAAAGCACAACAATTTCGACTGCTCAAACACGCTCGTCGTACCCATCAACTATTTCTCGATCACAGTATGCAGCACAAGAGGAACAAAAGTATTGTCGTGACTCATTTTGAAGGATCTAAGGTACCAAGGGGGAAAGGTCCGACATGTCTCTCGGACCTTCGGCTCCCGCTTCTCTTGCAACATCATGTAGCTGACTTTGCTATTTCAAATACCTCCGTGTAGAGAGCAGGCATTTCCATTCTCACACAGCGATTGAACTGGCTCGTACTTCCACTTTCCAGAAATATTGCCAGCCCATCAGCGGCTTCCGCACATGTTGGCGTATTGGTAAGACCTCATGTGGTCTCACGGTAGAAACTCGCTAACAACGACCAGTTAAGTCCATGTAACCTAGTCAGAAGTCCTTATCTGAGTAATCGTCTGCAGGAATGTAGTCGAAATGACCCAAGCCACTATTCCATGAACCACGAGAAATCCGAGCTCCAGTAGAGAGACACTTCCCAAGGCAATTCTATCGGCGAGGAACAGTTTCAGTACAGATCTCCTGTACGTCTTTTTCATATCGGTAGTAGCCTGTTCCAGCACAAAGGCGTCCATGGCAGAAAGCCGGAAATCTCGGATGTCAGCGGTTGTCGTACTCAGTGCACGTGTGGGTGCACTGGAAGTCAAGGGCCGCTCAATTCTCTCCGGTCTTCGTCGAAGAGTCTGAATCGCCTTGAAGTAGGCAAAGTCAACATAACTAGACGTATTCAGCGGCACTGAGGGCTTCTTAAAGAGCAACTTCGGCAACAGATCTGGTCTAGATATCCAGATCGTGCCGCTTTCTCGTAGCTCTGAGAAGAAGGCTTCCAGATCATGGGCGTAACCGACAAATCTTGAGTAGAAGACGGGCGTCAATACCTTGAATTCTACCTCCTCGGCCTCGGCGGTCCCTGCGTCGCTCTTTGCCGAGTGCGAGAGCATCAACTCCTTGAAGGATTCGGAGACACCGCTTGGGACATATTTGACTATCAATGGCGCATGACTTTGTTCGACCATGTAACGGAGGTATCGTCGGAAGACCATCTCCAACTGAGTTTCGGTCGGATCCGCATTCCGACCCATGCTTTCTTTCAGGGGTTCGGGTCTGTACCACACGTGGAGCTTCTTCTTGAAGAACAAAGCTCCAGCTTCCTTCACAATCCTAGGGAAGGTGACAAATCCAACCCACCACCATGTGCAAAGGAACGATACCTTTTGTAGCATCGTCATGGTCGCGGGATCTTGGGGCCGTCCCATAGTGAAGAGCCGTGCTACAAGTTTGCCATGTCCCTTGGATGAATTCAAATTAATCGTACAGTCTATAGACGGGCTTCCATCAACCAACGTCTTCAATGGGTCGTTGGCTTTCAGAGAGTAGGAGCCTTTTCGCGAATTAAAGGGTGACACGTGGAAGTCCTTGGGCCACGCCTGTTTGAAAGTTGGCGTTGGTTCAGGGGTTGTATTTGCAGAAGGTTGGTTCTCTCTTAAAAGCCCTCCTTCAGCACGGCTGGCATCTTTGATCTCGTTTTCTCGGCTTGGCGTATTGGGAGTTAAGAAATACATTCGCCTCTCATCGAATGTATTGTTTACTTCTAGGATCATGGCAGCAAGGCTCATGTCTGCGGCGTATAGATACCAGAACGAGACTGGATTGAAATGATAGCCCAGAAATCGTGCAGCTGTGACCAAGTATGCATGAGGGTACAACGCAGAATCCACGCCCTTAATTTGAGAAGTCAGAATTCGATCAGATATCAATATTGGCGGTACACACCTGCGATTTAAGATAGGCGTCCAGCTTTCCTCGCAGGCCGAGTTCTCTGTTGCCTCGCTCAAGATAGTCAGCTGCATCAACATCGTACCAGCCCTTTCGAAATTTTGATTTCAAGGAAAACCAAGAGAAGAGGCTTGTGCTCCTCTCCACACCTGACGAGACCATGCCACCAGCGACTCCTTCCCAGCCGACAGGAATGCCCACGACAAGGTATGAATACGAGAAAGAATGTCTTTTGGGGAACATTCTAGAATGAGTGGTCCTTGAAGGAAACAGGAGAATACGTCCAAGTCCTCGAGTTGTTGAGTGCCTTGTTCCCGGCCATGTTGCTCGAACAAGCTGAAGAAGGACGACACTAGTCGAAAGTGCTATGATGGCAGATTTGGCAAGACTATAGAAAGTGAGGCCTGAATACTCTAATGCCGCTGGCATGGCTCGGAAGGATATCAATATTAAGAGTAAAATAGCATCTGAGGTCCTGCCAAAGAAGCCATAAAAGGCGACACTAATTAGGAATGGCAGGGCAAACCATGACTCTGGTATTGAAATCATCGCAATGGTGCGAATATTTGCGGGTGATAGCAGCCCTTGGAATAATCAATATGCAAACCAGCCATTGAATGTTGTTACAAAGGCTATGTTTGCAAATTGTCTGTCGAGTAAATGGAGTTGCGGTTGCAGTATCACGGCGGATCACCGACCCTCCGATGAAACGAAGGCACATGCATCATCGACCCATTGAGTAGATCGAAGTGAATTATTTGCAGTGCGTGCGCAGTGCCTGCCAGCCGGCATTAAGAAGCCTCAATTCCGAGCTGAAGGACCCGCCTAGAACCCCGCCACCAGCCTCCCATGTGGCTGAAGCGGAGGCCTTCCAAGTTTTACAGCGTGCACAACACAGCCTTACTACCCAGGATTTGGTGCAAGCTCCCCGGTTGACTCAACAAGCGCCAAATCCACCGAACTCCATCCCTTTCCATCTGCATCGGCAACTTATTTAACTTCGCACTCACACGACACTTTTGATCACTACACCAACAATCACACTCCCACAACCTCACCAACATCCTACGGCCACCAACGACTCGTCGTTTCTCACCGTCTGCACCGTAAAGAGCCACGATCGCCTTTCGCTGACGCCGCACACTCACTTTTCACCGCCTCTCAACTACCCCACTACCAGATTCGTCAAGATGTCTTCGAACGCCGACTGGGACCAGGTCACCAAGATCGGAAGCAAGGCGCGCGGCGGCGCATCCCAGCGTGAGACTGTCGTCAGGGGCAAGAGCGCCATCAATGCCGCAGCCCGCAGCGGCTCCGTCATCGCCACAGAGAAGAAGTATGCCGCCGGCAATTCTGTATGTACTATCTGGACCCCACCTCAGCATGCTCAGTATACTGATCTATCAACTTTGTAGGCATCCAAACCCGCCGTTGAGGGTCAGCACCTGACCAAGGTCGACCGAAGCGATGACATTGTCAAGCCCAAGACGATCGGCAAGGAGGTTGGCGATGTGATCTCGCAGACACGGCAGAAGATGGAGCCCAAGATGACCCAGAAGGACCTGGCCACCAAGTGCAACACCACCCCCACAGTCGTCGCCGACTTCGAGCGGGGGACGGCTGCGCCGGACCAGAAGGTCCTATCCGCCATGGAGCGGGTGCTCAACGTCAAGCTGCGTGGCAGCGACATTGGCAAGCCAAAGTTCGAGAAGAAGGCCAAATAAGCCAGCCCACGGCGGCGGCATGGTTCTATTCCTTTACACATCATTTTGCACATCAGGGCTAGGCCGTACGAGCCTCGGGCCTGGGGAGGATGATACGAAGACGCTTTGTCCTCGTTGCATAGCGTGAACAGGCTTTCCAATGGGGCAGTCATGGCTTGACGATCATAGAGGTTCTCACAGGAAATAGAATCTGATTTATGAATTATCAATTGTGTAATGCACGCAACTCTTATGACTCCGTGACCAATGCTTATGCTTTACAAACAAGGCTCCTCCATCATGCTAATGACCAACAGTATGATCCAAGTCTCCTCTATGTCCTCATCTCCTTGTTACACGATGGGAATTATGCGGCAACAGCCTTGACACGTTCCTGAATAACAGCCTTGCTAGGCTGAAAATTCACTTGTACAACCACGTTCTCCTTACCTCCGATTGTTACAACTCTCATCCACTCCGGGGCAATTTCCTTTGCCAGAATCCTGATACAGGCAGTGCCTTCCTCTCGAGAAATCGGCAGACGCAGCGAGTCCTTCAACTTCTGCAGTAATGTCAACATGGTGAAGGAAATGCGCTGCTGTCCCATCGAGGTCGCCCTGCATAGCATTGAAATTACCGCTGCAATATCATCGACTCTCTGCAGGGCTGCGCGTCTCTCCAGCTCCTCTCTCGAGGGGCCAGAAGGCTCCTGTGATTGTTGAAGCTGCTTATATCGGATGCGGTCGAGGAGACTCATCTTTGACCCATCCGGGTTCAGTGTCGATGCAACCTGTGCCTGTGCCTTGGTTTCTTTCTCCTCTTTCTTGATAACAATGCCGTTCTTCAGCTCCTGCAGAGTTCTTTGACCCTTGGCTAGCATAGAAGAGGCCTTGATGGCAGACTCGCATGCTTTGATAGGGGCCATCGGCAGGCCGCGTAAGAACAAGACCATGTCGGAAGACTTTGATCCTTGAGTTGACCACCGAGTCTGCAGATTCTGCTCAAAAGTTTGCGAAAGGGCATTATCGTTAAGAGGTCTTCCACTGTGTTCCACATGTAACTCGATGCACAGCTTTCCTCGTCCGTAGTCAGCGACGAAGACTGGGGATGCTGCACCAAGAATCCCCACACAACGACGGATATCTTCCATTGTCACTTTCCTCTTTCCCCATGCTCTTGTGATGCCAGGAGATATGACTCGGAGATCGACTGGGGAATTGGTGCCATTGTGGGCGTAGTGAAGTGCCAACGTTTTAAAAAAGGCAATGTGGAGGTTGACAAGATCGACGAGTTCCTGAGGTAGTGTGACATCGCAATCGATGTCTCCGTCTGAGTCTACAACTGAAGTTGCTGGAGTGCTCGCTGTAATTGGCGACGAGGTGCGTGTTGACTGAGGCGATTGTAGCTTAAGCCGCTCAAGCAGGGTTCCTGAAAATTCCACGTCTGGAGTCGACTGTCTCTCGGTTCGTCTACATGCTCGTTTGGAGGCGCCTCGTGGTGCTAAGGTCTGACGAGTCTCCTTCGCGTTGATTGCGATAGTCGAAGGCTCCTCAGCTTCGGGGGCAGCAACTGCCTTGCGCTTCTTGCTGGATGGCGGCTGCTGCACTTGAATTGATGTGGTTTGCACAGCTTCCACGGCCGCAATCTTCTCGACGAGCTCCTTCTCAATAGTGCTGCGCTTCGAGACTCGGGCGAAGGTGCTGATACTTGCACTGCGCTTGGAAACGCCGGCAGGAGCGGTTTTGTTGACCTTAGTTGACCGGTGCGTAGAGCGCCGGCTGGTGGTTGCGCTCGGCATCTTTGATACTATTCGTATTGATACAGACAATTGGCAGTTGCGATTGACAAATGTTTCATCCAGAGTAAGAACGACGTCGCGATTGCTTAATGGTTTGTCTGGGAAAGTAATGGGCAAGAACGATGGAGGATTGTGAGGTGGGAGATATAGGCACATGCAAAGGGAAGGCCCGCTTTGGGTTGGTGGAGCTAACGCGCTCATCGCGTCGACGCGTTAAGTGGTTTATTCTGGTGGCAGGAAGCAACCTGGGCGTGTCCGACCAGACCCTGACCCCACTGACCGCAATACCCCAGCACATACCAATCACTCTCCTACTAACACCAAATTCGAGATCAATGCAAATAAGTGAATGCGATTCGCTACCTAGACTGATGGTATTTCTTCCTAACCAGGCGGGCCAGGTAGTCAACGCCTCTACAAATGCGACTTTACTCCGTAGTCAACGAAGGTAGTTGGCGATGCCAGCCCGTTGATTACCATTGGGAGCCGGTTATTAAGGTAGCCCACTCGTCCCAGTAATAAACTCTTCCTTTATTCAACTGCAAAGCAATTGACAACCACCACACTGGAGGCTCCGCGAGGGAACAGTTACATTTTCTCTGGCTAACGTCTACATTTATCACCTTAACACCAAGTGCAATCAAGGTCCTAGAGTAGAATTGCAATATCTGCCATTGTGTTGAGTCTGTAATCTCTCTTTAAAAACTCTCGCAAGTTAAGAAAGGATTCTCTGCAACACAACCTTTCATCGTTATCATCATTGTGCTTGATAAATTTTGCGATTACAAACTAGACTAGTTGATTGCGCAATATTGAATTCTTGATTAATTTCCATAAATGAAGATCAAACACTTGCTTGCGTTAATTACCGCCCTGTATACTTGCGCTCAGCCCATCTGGCAGGGATATAGACAACCAAAGTAAAGACGAAAGCTAGCTCGTTTCCAATATCACCGCCAAAAGCCGGGTCTCCAATCTTCTTAGCCAGGACACCGACATACCACGTCTCGCTCATTCCCAGAACACAGCCGGCAATACCAGCCGCAAAAGCCAACCCTCCAGCATAGCCCACAGGCATCAGACTTGGTGTATTCCACGCCTCAAGATCATATCCCTGGTAACCCTTATGGCCAGCTCGGAACAGGTAGTGTTCGGTGAACAGTATAACGAAGAAGGCCGTGTTCCAGTAGCCCAGCAAGCTCAAGAAGTTTTCGAGGAAGGTCAACAATTTATCCCGCCCAACCAGCGCAAGCAGAATGATGGCAACGAACATCAGGGTAGTCCAAATGAAACGAGGAATAACAGCCAGGGGTCGTGCAAATTGCTGCACAGAGAGCCCAGCACTATACAGGGCCACTGCATTCATGGCAATTCCGGAAAGAGCCAATATGACCAGGAGGAACTTCGCGAAGCCCGTAGGATGAATGGCCGTTTGGATGAAGAAGCCGATGCCTTCATCATATGCCGCTGCCCAGTCCTCCTTGTTATTGAGAGCAGATCCACAAATAGCTCCAAGGATCATGCCAAACATTGTTGGTAAGCCTATAAGATCGTTAGTTGAGGGAGGCCTGCACAGCGCATGGAAGAAACTCACCGATCCCCAGGGTTGTCAGGATGAACACCTTGACCTTAGATGTCCTGACAGGGTATTCCACATAATAATCGGCAACAATGCTGCACCACGATGCTGATGACCCGTATATCACAGCGAAGAGTGTCAGGGCGGTGCCAGACAGTGTAGCACCTGTCAATTCCGTCTTTGTCTTGACATCCGCCGACGACGCTGCCTCGCCGTACATGATGATGAAGACTACGGTAAGCACCAAGCCAGCGAATTTCTCATACTGGAAGACTGCCTTCAAGCCCACGAAAGAGATAGCAAAACCGAGAACAGCAGCAATCGTGACACCCAATTCAGATCCAACCTTGCCATCGGAGACCGCAGACAGGGCCAAGCCGCCAGTAATGGAGCCGACGGATGACCAACCGACCTGCTCGACGACATTCAGGGCAGCAATCACCTTCGACGGCCACCATCCCATGGAGTATCGCGAAATTGAGACCTGACGCAGACCAGTTCCTGGTCCCATAGTGGCACACCATCCCTATATCGCGATCATGTTCAGTGATTGTTCCCCTCCTTTCTCTCCGTTAGTCTCAGAGCAAAACTCACAGTGACAGCACTGCCCAGCAGTGTTGCAAAGACAATAATGGCGATATTTCTATTCAGATCCAGGCCGAACTCCCAGCCCAGGAAGCCGGTTGCAAAGCAGCTGAGGTTCATAGTCGCAGACATCCATAGCAAAAACATAACTGCCTGGTTGTGCCAAACAGCGAACTGTGGATCTTTGTCTTCAGGTCGCTTTCGTGCAATTCCATGCGACTCAACACCGAGGCGGCGGTCCATTGCCTCTTCAAAAGAGCGCAGGCGACCGAGGAAGCCATGCTTGCTTGCACTTCGTAGATAAGGCGGCACCTCTTGCTCAGTGCTTGAGACATCGACAGCTGGTGTAGGCTCGATGCCGATCTTCTCTTCTTCGAGATAACGCTTGTCCTCCATGTTGGCTGGCATCTTGAATCAATCGAAGCAAGTCAGAAAGACTAGAACGGGGATTGAAAGATTAGCCAGAACAAGCCAGCAAGATAGAAGCACTGGGGAAGATAGAGCCACAACCCATTATAAAGATTTTCCTACTCAGCTATCTCACTCCCTAACCCACCTCACCCTCGGGGTGATCGCCCCATTGTCGAGTCTAGCTCCAGCTCGACCGACGGCCCAGCCGTCTCGTTGGGTGGAATCTAGGGCAAAGAGCGCACAAGGCCCCGGAGTCTGTCCGGACGCCAAGACCGTTTCGGGAAGCTGTTGTTAGGTCGCATCTCTTAGGCTTATCGGGCGAGGCGTCGAACCACTCAAATTTCGTGCAGAATCTGCTTCCCGCCCCAATTGCCGACCTAAAAATGTTCTGGAAAAGGCCAAGAATGGCTCGTGTGTGGGTGTACTAATGGCCCACATCATCTTAGCAGGAAAAGGTTGCCCTGCTATCTGACTCGGTTGGCGTGTCGTTCACAAGCCACTGAGATAGCGAGGTTGTAAGCTGAAACGTGCTTCCATTGATAACACATGATCGTTATGTGGTATTCAATGACTTTACTCTAGAAAGCTCTTTGGAGGTCTTTCAAAACCAGGGCTTATCATAATGAGTTATCTGACAGCTTACGCTAGTCGACATGCTCGAAATGATTGGGTCCAATGGCGGCCCGTGGTTATACGATGCGTACACCCGACCTGGGCAATTATTCTGCTGCTTACATGTCGGGTAAAGGCTTTATTACGAGAGTGATTATCACTTTAGATAGGGAACTTGCATGTGTTGAGACGAAGTGAAAGGAAGTCATCGCGGCTCCTACTAGATGCCGCTCCCATCTCCTTGGCGCTGTACCAAGCTTCCTTGGCAAGCCCCTAGCGCTTTTCGTTACAGGCTAACCTCCAGTACACACCCTGGTGGAGTGAAGTGTTATAAGTCATCAAGTCAGGTTTGGATGTAATCTTGCCTATCAGTATCCAAATTGTGTATTTTTGCACCGTGATGACTACTGACAGGTATATGTTTCGAAAGGTGACTATCTCAACGAGTCTGGATTTGAGTGCATCTTTTCAATTAGGTCCTGTAGCTTGCAAACCATGTGTCGACATATCGTTCAAATACAGCCCCAAATATCAAGGCGAATTGCGAACAAGACAACGAGCTCAGACTAAATACGCTTACCTGCTTTAGGCGAGGATGGGTACTCCTGAAGTATTCACATATATATAAAGGACTTAACTTGACAGATCCAGCGACTACATACCCTGCAGGGTACACTTTTCACAAGGTCTTCCAAAATGCGGATCCCTTTCACTTACCAATTGATCACTATCTAAATTGAGCATTACGGCTCATCATGGCATATGAGATTCACCCATGAACATCGTATTCTATTGGGTACAGCTCTATTGTACTACCTGAGGCTGGCTGCGTCGCCGCCGGATTACGGTACAACCTTCTTGGTGGAGTGATTTTTGTCGTCCGAGCGTGCTACTCCCTCGACCGAAGACCTATGGACGAGACTTATCTCGCGAATTCCGCAGAAACTAAACACTGGCGTTTGTTCGACCATTATTCCCGCAGACTTAAGGAGCGCAGAAAAACTGATTGTTAATCTGGAACTACCACCTCGAGAACAGCATCGTTGCCCTCTGCAAATAAGTTGTCCTTGAGAAACTGCTAGGAGCAAGTCTGCAAGGGTTATGACTGGGAGGAGAGTTCGGGCCTCGCTGGGATTGAAGTTGACACATCAGATTTCACAGTATCTAGAAAAAGCTAATTTTAATAATTCGATGCTAAGAATATTCGTTACTGAAGTTGTCATCGTGACGGCGTACTTCATAGTCGTGCAACCTAACTATGTGACATCAACTGCACTTACAGGCGACAGTGCCAATTCGTTCTTCAGAAGGCGGTAACGACCTTTCTAAAATCATCCACGAAAGGTTTCGACTCATTTCAATGTCCGTCTTTCTTCTAATCTTCTTTGCAGACGTGACACGTCAGTCTGGGTTCAAAATGCTATAGATATGAGCAGATTGTTGAGCAGCTTAATCCAAGAACAATTCTCATGGGTGAGTAACTGATACTCTAGTAGAACAATTGAAGACATCTACTATAATTGTGATTTGGACTAATACTAGTCACAAGTTTGTTCCAAGTCGTTATAATTAGCTGGCTCTTCTCCGGTAAAAGGAATGTGAAGAGCAAAAAGTCGACCTGGCGAATCTACAATGGGATGCTCTGCCTCACAGTGATGCGCACATCCCTCGCATCCTTCATCACTTATTTGAGAGACTGTCAGAAGTGCGACATGGAGCTCGTATAAGGATTAGAATTAGACTTTTGGTCAAGTACTCGCCGTGGCTACTTGACTACCTGTCAATGTAAAACCGCCAAATATCTTTTCTTGTAGGTTGTCCCATTTTGACCGAAACATCGCAGCGTGTACACAGCCCGACCTCGGCCACTTGCTAAGAAGGCCTCGAAAGTCCATATTACCACGCACTCAAAGATCACCGAGGTAGTCATGAGGCTTGTGACGGAGATCCTGTCGCCTTTCAACTTACACCCAAACGAATGTAGTTCTGAACAGAATTGTACAGCAGACAAGACGTCGCACCTACTGAGGACTAGTGAGCCTGCAAATAGATACGATAGTCGAAAAGCCTTGTATGATGAACTACTTCAGTAAGTATATGCCAACGGGGTGAAGAATACTGCGGTACGGCAGAGAGATATTACATGAATATAATGGCATATAACTTAGGGATAGGCTCAGTACCGATCATTCTGGGGTGTTTGCAGATACTGCCCGTCTTTCAAAGAGCTTGATTAACTGAGCATCATTGGTTCACCAGTGATGAGAAGATGTCCTATGGAAGTAAATAGCTGTTTATTACTCCAGCTTGTCAAGGTAGACAACGGTAATAAGTTGTCCTTTGGAAACAAACAGGTGTTATTATCCCAACTTGTCAAGATGAGCAAAGGCAATAAACCTAACGATCTAGTAAATATAGATTAATTCCCCGCAGACTGCTCGTTGATGAAAAGACCAATGGCACCTGTAAGAGATCTTCAATAATTGAATATAAATGTAGGGTGTGGAAGTATTCGAGTTGTATATCATCAGCTTATCACTGTAAATGCGAAGTTGCCTGATTTTTGGTTGATCTTGCCGATTCACGGAACACAATAGTGATTATGATACGCCACGTTCAACACGGATCATATTCAAAAAGCTAATAGTAATGCTTGATATTCCAAGACGTGCATCTCCGTCTAGCCGAGTGCGCCCTACCAAAGACCGCATGCTTGGCTACCTAGGTATCGTTGCGGTGTAAGTCGGCCGTCAGTGGGGAGGTGAACCCCGCTCCACGGTCCCGGGAGGCTTAACGTGGAGCCGAGGCACGGGGTAAGTAAGATGAGCCAGAAATCCGCATCATCTAATTCATCTCTTCCAAATCATATTCTTATCGCAAGTCATTCGTTTTTAACTGAAATTATATCTTGGTGGCGTCAGAAGCTCCGACCATAAGCACCCGTATAATCATGGCCCCTGAAACGAAACCAATCATCTTGTATCATTATGCCTATTCACCTTTCGCGAGAAGGGTGGTCTGGTATCTGACCCTTCGAGGCATACCGTATCAGCAATGCGTGAGTGAAAAGCCGACGCAGGATGACCCATGTGATTTGGTACATGAGGGCTAATTGCAAACAGCTACAACCGCCCATCATGCCTCGTCCTGATCTCGCCAAGCTGGGAATCAACTACAGGCGAATCCCAGTCTTGTCAACTGGACAAGATGTTTACCTAGATACTCGACTGATCATCCAAAAATTGGAACAGCTCGAGGTATCCAATCCCAAGCTTGGCGCTGACGGGCCGGAGAGAAAAGCCATCGAGAAGCTTTTAGAGATATTTGCCGTTGATGGCGGGATCTTCAGCCGCGCGGCGCAATTACTTCCATCCGATTTACCAATGTTGAAGGATCCGGCGTTCGGCAAGGACCGAATTGACTTCAACAACGGCAGGCGCTGGTCCCGAGATGACTGGACTGTCGTGAAGCCAGAGGCGATCAACGAGATCAGGAACGCCATGGAGTTCCTCGAGACGACGCTCCTAGCTGATGGTCGTGACTGGATCTTGAAGACCGACCAGCCAAGTTTGGCTGATATCGAAGGCGTGTGGCCACTCCACTGGATTGCTGGCATACCGGGCGCACTGCCTCCTGACCAGGTCTCGGCCGAGCGGTTTCCTAAAGTCTATGCATGGATCAATAGATTCCAGAAGGCCGTGTCTGCGGCCAAGAAAAGCCAACCGAAGCCGCTTGATATATCGGGAGACAAGGCGAGAGAACTGATTTTGAACTCTGGCTATAGTGATCCAGATGGTCAAGTCGACCCAAGTGACCCGCTAACCCGGGCTCACAACCTGAAGAGAGGAGAGCCTGTGACGGTTTGGCCTACAGATACCGGGTCGTCACATAGAGACGTCGGTCTTTTGGTCTCACTCGACGGAAAGGAGGTCGTCTACGAGACACAGCCGGATACCTCACCTAAGCAGGGCGTGCGAGTCCACGCCCCAAGGCACGGATTCAGAATCAGCCATGCAGACAGGGTTTCAAGCTTGAAATTATGAGCTCTTCACATTAAACCTAACCTGCCATTGCCATCTGGGCGGGTTCAATTGAGAAAGTTTGATTGATATGTGTAGCGAGTATATTCGGGCAGGCCATAACGATATTAGGTGTTCATCTTAATGCACGTTTGTGTCGCGCTACACATTTCATGCTGTGTGTCTCAGGAAATGTTAGGCAAACTAGTCGAAAGCATGAACGGTAGTCGAGTATCTGAATAACTTCGGTCTTCGCAGTAGGAGTAAAGCCCGTTGGTGGCGATGGCAAATAGTTATAAGCGAGCAACGTCGAATATTATGAACATGGGCGAGTATCGCGTATTTGACAACAGTAGTGCTCTCTGATTTGTGCTCTTTACTTTCAATTTGAAGTGTCCATAGAAAATATAGTATATCATAGAGTCAACAGTGATGTGACGGACACGATCAACTGGTGTTATTGATCACATGATACTTGCTTGGAGGTTCCGGGCGCCACCGAGCTTCACAGCTCGGATCGAACAAGGTGCCTGACGAAAACGAAAGTCACAGCTTGCAATTGAAGTACAATGATAGTAACAAGTCTGGTAATGAACTGGTAATCAACATTGATAACCAACACTGGTAACCAAGAGAAAAGATTGCTCGTCTTGATGCACTTTTGCTAGTAGGCAAACTGTTATTTCGTACACGTTCTGTCATCTCAAGCCAGTCCACAGAGAGCATCGTAGTGACTGTGCTGGCTGATGCGGAGACGGGTTAGTGCTTCGTCTGAATAAGTTTGGGGCAGCGGAATGACGACAAGCAAATCTCGGATAGATCTGCTATCTGGAGGAGGGTGGGCTGCAGGTGGAGAGGCGCCGGTGCGTTGGGATACTTCAAGCCATAGCTTCTCGGAACATCGATGTGCATATTATGACAAGGCACGGCCTGACGTCGTGCGGCACTTCTAAAGTGGAGAGTGACAAGAAATATGGGGCTTTCAGGAACCCAAATGTGATAACTCTGATCTGTCTTAACTTCCAACAACGAAAAGTAGCCCTCAGAAGGGAAGCAGCAGTTTGGAGGTGGAATATTGGGACGATCCAGCATGCCAATAATTCATAGCGGTTTCCAGTCATCCAAAACGGGTAGCTGGATTATCCGTGAATGTAAGAGAGCTTTTTGGTTGAATACTTCTCGGCCAGTAGTAAGTACGTTTGACTACTCTAAGTAGTATGCAAGGACAAAGCATCAAGATAAACTGTCAAGCAAACGCGTAGAAATTTCGGCAACACGAACCGATACTATTGAAGTCGTGCAAAGTAGCATAACTTGGCGTGTCTGGGTGATCTATGAGGAACGGCATAGCATTGCTGGTAGGCTGGCTAGACTAGGGAAAAGGAAACAACTAGGGGCATCTGTTTTCTGTCGGCGACTGAAGTCCTGCAGGTGATGAGAGAGGACGGCATCTCAGCGCCACCTGGCGTTACGTTCCGTTACGAGTTGTTGATGCAGAGGGAAAACGCCAGACGACGGGCTGGACTGGGTGCGAAAAGAGGAAATGATGTCGTCATTCTGCGACAACAGTGGTGGTAGTCAAAGCCCCCCACAGTGCGACTTTGGTGCTTCTTCTCCGTCCCCACGATAACGTTACCATGGTGCGAATTTCTGCAAGCGCGTCGAAATTGCTCCCGATGAGATATACAGGAGCCCGTGGGAATGCATAGGAGAGAATAGAGTTGATATAGAGTCAGAAACTGCCTCAACCTCTATCACGAAGCATTGAATAACGCACACTGATTTCGCGCTTGTGGCTGATGTATCCTTTTTCCTTCTGCCGTGTTTCGTAGAGAATCTGACTTTGCATGACGTAACAGCCTGCAAGCCGTACCGCAACGAGGCGGTCGATAATTTCGGCCAGTGTGGCATGCTTTAATTATCTAAACTCAAGTCCATCCCAGGCCGACGCGACCGGACGAATAGACCGGGCCATGTTAGATCTCGCTCTCCTTGCGCAAGGAGGTTTCTTTCGATCTTCTCTCCACTATAGTATGTCTTAAGTACTTGATGTTGAAAGAGAGAGCAGCAACATTCTGATTAGAAATGCGCCTGATGCATCGATCAGGACACCCAAACGGCGATGCAGAGAGAAACGGTGCGGGAAACTGGCTCGTCACACTATCCCGGTCGGTTTAGTGTCTGACGCAATTTCTTGCAAAGGGGGTCAGGGGGGGTCGAGCTTGGAAACGCTGCAGAGCGGGGCCATTTATTGGCAAGACTCATGATCTCATTCGATAAGAGAGCCCCGATCCATTTTGCCACGAAAGTACCGTCGTTCTCGTCTGCTGCTCTCAGTGGTTCAGTCTGGGCGTGAGATCTTCCGTTGGCGTTTCCAAACCTGCATCGCTTCCTTACGACACGGTTAAAACGGATGTATCCCCTGGAGAGGAGGCCAAGGGTGTGGCATCGGCCTCTTACCGATAGGAATGACGGTGTGCATCACTTGCAAGGTACCTGTTCACAGAGGCGAGACAGCCCGGCACGCTCTTTGAAAAGCGAAAGAAAGTTGGTGGTCTGGGATGTACTTGCGACGAGGTTGATAAATTCGTTATAGTCGGTTCATCTTAGCACACCTTTGGAGCATATCTAGGGCCAGTTCTGGCGTCTATGACTATGGTACGGATGCTGAAGACAGCATGAAAAGGTTAGAGGTGAAGAGCACACAGGGCTGAACAAAGTCGGACGTGAATCGTTGCCAACGCTGTTGTTCACCGAGCCTTATCATCATGGATGGCTGGACACTTCTCGTGACTTGCAGCCCCCTTACAAGTTCACATCCCGCAAGAGGGCGCATTCCAACGCCATGTGTGCGACTGCCGTAGTAGGCACTGTAACGCTACCAACTTAAGGTAGCGTCGACGTCCGGGGGAGCTAAGAAAGTGGGCAAGTGGAGCGGGGACAGTGTGGACTGGCCTGATCGCGGCCGTTTTTTTTTCCCTTTTCCTCGTCTGCTTACGGTGTCAGTAGACGCGATTTCCGTAGTAGGTGCTTGCTGACTTGGCGAGCTTGGGGGAACGGCGAGGAAGAGCGTGGTAGATGGAGCGCATGATTTGCGTGGACCGAGGACGCGATAGCCGTGAGATCGAAGATGATTTCTCAGGCCCAGACCACTCGCTCGATATTGGATTGATGGAGGGTAGGCAAGTAGCTGATACAGCGGACAACCTGCTTTGTAATAGGGATTTCTAGTATTTTGGCATTTGGGGTGGCTGCTGGGTGGTTGAAAAACAATGAGCATGCCCAAGTCACGGACCTTCTTTCCTTCTCTAGCAGAGAGAAAACCCGCGCACTGTGCAAGGGAGGGTACGTACCAAGTACATACTCAGGAAAAGTGGGCCGAGCCGTTCTGTGCGTGCCCCCTCTGGCGTGCGTAGGTTGTCCTTTTTTGCCTAGCTGGCAGGCTGGCAAGGTGCTTTGCCATGTCTGGGCCGTCTGGTCGCACCTGCACGCACCGACCCCCCCCAGAGCGCCGCCTTTTCCCCCTTCCTTTTATTCTCCTGCCTTCTGCGTCATAACCCAAGACCGCCCGTCTCTGACGTCTTTCCCTTCAATTCATACCACACAACATCACCCCCAGCAAAACCACCTTCGAGTGTCAATCCCGACTGCGTTACCGCAGAAAGGCAATGCAATAGCGTCGCAGCGCCTCTTGTGTCTTCCTGTGACCTCATCTGGCTTTTTTAACTTTCCCATCTCTCCTTCCCGTACCTTTCCCCACAAGAACGAGGCGTCGTCGAATTGCACAAGGCAAAATATAATACATCATCATCGAGTGTGTCGTCACAATGCCGGCCGCCGAGAGCAGACGCGAGTCCAAGTCCCCCAAACAATCCAACACGACATCATCGCCCAAGAGTGGTAAGTCTAGCTCCCCCTCTCTCTTTGCTCTCTCTATCTCGCGCGCATGTACACACACACACCACACCTCTGTATGCCCTCGCCGCTGCCGCAGGACGACGTCGCCAACAACGCTGCCTAGATGCCCAAACCGACCCTAAACAGCACGACGCCGCCTTGAAGCCCGATACCTCAGCGACTGCCGGGCCCGCCAAACCTCTCGCTCCTCCCCCTCGACCTAGCCAACAGCAATCTGCCGCGAACACTCCTGACTTCTTTACAGGCCCAGGCGGCTCTTTAAACCTGGAGCCCAATCCTTTTGAGCAGTCCTTCGGGGCCCCTGCTCCAGAGACACCTGGTGGCACCAAGCTACCTTCTGTCGCGGCTCTGACATCACCGTCATCATTGCTTCCCGGAAGCGGCGTGACACCTTTCAACTGGGGAGGTGGTTCTCTTCGGACAGGACCTCTTAGCCCGGCCATGTTGTCGGGTCCAGCAAACGACTACTTCAGCGAGGCTCACCATTTGCGAAGCGGCTTTACCCCCAACGAGTCGTCGTTGAGGACAGGATTGACGCCTGGCGGGAGCGGGTCTATGTTCCCGGCGCCCAGCCCCAACTCTCAGGCACTCTTCGCGCAACTGGCAAGTGGCGGCGCGACACCAAGCACGATCGATTTCCACCGGACGGCGATGAGTGCGGCTGCTGCTAAGCGTGACCAAGTACAACCTCAAACGCAACCCGCAGTTACATCCCAGCCACAGGAGATCTCCAACGGCGTAGTGCCAGTCAAGGCAGAACCGAAGGCACCAACAGGACCATTTGATAACCACGATAACGACGCGGCTAACGGCTTATTTATGTTGGCTCAAGGGAGGAACGGTAATCAACCTCAGCCTCAATTTCCAGTTGCACCACCACAGCAGGTTCACGGCCATCCAAACACGATCCCTCAACAGGTTTCGAACACATCGCCACAAATGACTAATGGTAACGGGTCCATCAACGGACAATCTATGCGAGGTATTAGCGAAGCTGGCAGTGCGATGTCAGATGAAAGTGAACAGGCTCCACCTGCCACTCGCGGCAAGGGCAAACGAAATTCAGGCGCCGGAGCAGCTACTACAAATGGAAGACGGAAAGCTGAAGAGCCTCCTGCCAAGGGTCCTGCAAACAAGAAAGCCAAGACCAACGGTGGTGCTCCATCGGTCAATAGTAATGACGACGATGATGAAGATCATTCTGACGATGACTCAAAGATGGACGGACCCAAGTCAAAGATGACAGACGAGGAGAAGCGGAAGAATTTCCTCGAGCGCAACAGGTAAGCCTCATCTAAATTAATGTATGAGCATAGAGCAATTGCTGATCAACTCTAGGGTTGCTGCTCTCAAATGTCGTCAACGAAAGAAACAGTGGCTTGCCAACTTGCAGTCTAAGGTGGAAATGTTTAGCTCCGAGAATGATGCTTTGACAGCTCAGATTTCTCAACTTCGTGAGGAGGTTGTCAACCTTAAGACATTGCTTTTGGCCCACAAAGACTGCCCCGTAACACAACAGCAAGGACTTCATGGTGCTTTTATGCAGCAGGCAGCCATGGAGCCCTTCAACCCACAGATGAATCCTTATGGCATGGCTGCTCCTATGCCTGCTCAACAGATCATGGCTGGACAGGGCCAAAGACGGTTCTCATGAAGTCCACCTAATTTTCTATGAGATCACGACCATCAATGAAGCATCGGGCTGGCAAAAGCATGCTTGCTCTTTTGCAGGACTTGATATAATATAGGTGACTGAAACGGTGGGAAGGGCGCGAAAACTGATTTGCTCGCATTTACTTGGGCAACGCTTCGATGTTTGCAAGAGCATCGTCAAGAGCCAGGAGCTAGTTGCTGTCATATCTTGTGATTGATAGCTGACTTTCCATCTCTCTGGCATGTAACAACATCCTCTTCGACAAGAAGCTGCCTTACGGTGTTTGGTCACGGCTGTACAAGTAACATCAACAGTCCAAAGGGGAACGCGAGAGCAATAGGTAAGGACTTGTCTCTGTCCTACCTTGTGCGACCTCGTGGTCCTCCTGTAAGTATTGTGAATTTGGTCAAGGGGGCATACACATCAAAATAGGTGTTAGGTTGGGGAGTCAGGTTGCTTTGCTGTTGGAGGCGTTCCGGCTGAGCGTCTTTGAGAGGATATTGTCCTCGATACGCATCCTCGTCTCCCGTCTGGCTTCGCACATATTCGAGTAGCACCAGGTAACAAGCTACGGTTTGTAGCACGTAAACAGAGAATACGAAAGCTGATAAGATTCAAATAATGCCATTACCTTCTCAATTGTGATCTTTTGTTTGCTGGTATGGTACTCGCTAATGCACAGCTCAAGGACTGCTTTTTCGTCTATCGAAGATGCAAGGTTGAGTAACAATGAAATATGTCTAAAGATGAAATGAACGGGAATAATATCAGCTTCGATCCTGAAGACACGGTGAATAATTGAGGGTAGACTGAGGGATACTAGTACAAGCACTTGGGGGTAGGCTGAGTCCTGGAGAGCCGCGTGTCCTGAAAGGGGTTAGCGTCAAGTGCTGGCAAATGAGATTGATGTAAACAACCTAGGGAAGGAGCAGCCCGCCTGTTTTCGCGATCACCACCATTTCTTACGTCCACCGGCGCTACACACCCCTCTTCGGCCACCGAAGAGCATCAATTAAACAACCAAGTTCATGCCATCTCCGCTTCGACCACTGCAGCTTAATTTGATTTGCGATTGTTCAATTGCGCGATTATCGACGCGTCCGTCGTAAGCCGGAGTCACGGAGGGGCCCAATCGCATCCGGGGCTGGACACGCGCCAACTTGGGAATTCGACGAACACGTTCACCCAAGCAACTGTACTAGATGCCTACGCAGCCAGGCCGCCATCCATGACGACCGTTATACGGACTCGGGAGCCGCTACAAGTCTTGAGCATGGGCAATCAGCCAGAGCGCCGGAAAAGCAAACGTCTTGCGGGTGAGCTACCCCACAATGAGCATCGCGACTGGGCGTCGAAACCTAACGTCAAGACTATAGCGTCCTCAGTATACGATGAGCAGGATGACGATTTTCTCTTTACGCGCGTGTCGAAGCGACAGAAAACTGCACAGCAAGAAAACGAGCCAGAGCCGGCGGCTGCGCCCGCGAAGAAGGCGGCAGGGAGAGGCAAGCAGAGCAACGCTAGGAGGCGCGCATCACCATCCCCAGCCCCTCAAGAGGGCCAGGAACCTGTAGCGACATCCAAAAGGCCGACGAGACGAAAAGCTAGCCAGACAGCGCCGGCCGTCCCAGATGAAGTCCCAGTTGCCAAGACGCGCAAGACAGGGAGGCGGACGCGTTCTTCGATCGAAAAGACAGGACGAGGTGGTGAAACGACAAGGGTAAACACGACGGAAGATGACGATCGCGTAACAGCTGTGGCAGGGACGCCTATGGACGTGGAAAAGGGCCAAGGCGATATAGGTTCAGATTCACGACAGATTGCGCTCCCCTTCAGCGATACGCCCATCAACAATCGGAATAAAGAGTTCAGAAAGAAGGCCGGAGGCGCGCGGAGGAGCAGTCTTGGTATGCGTGGCCGGCGGGCAAGCTCATTGATCGAAAATGGGCACAGCGCAATACCGCATCGAGAGGTCGACCCAGCTGAATTCTATAAGCATATTGAAGCCGAAGGTCTTAGCGAACCAAGGAGAATGAAGCAGCTCTTGACGTGGTGTGGTGAAAGAGCACTATCAGAGAAACCACCACTGGGGTCGTCCAACTCAAATGCGATTTTAGGGGGTATGTGATTTCCAGACCTATGGCAAGGGGTAGAATGCTAACTAGTCATAGCACGCGCGATACAAGACCAACTTCTCAAGGATTTCTCCTCAAGATCGGAATTTTCAGACTGGTTCAGCAGGGAAGACGAGCCAAAACCTACAGCAAAGAAGAAGCAAATTGTCATGAAACCCAATCCTCGGAACATCGAGCATGAACAGAAGATTGCAGAACTTGAAGCAAGAATTAAAAGGTATGTTAATTTGCTATCCAGTCTCTCATCTATACGCAAAGTGCTGACATCATTCAAGATTAAAAGAAGAAAAGAAGACTTGGCTTGCTCTAACCAAGCCAATACCTGACATACCAGCCCTCTATCCGGGCGGAGACCCGAAACAGGCTGCCCTACCAGATGAGAGTCTGCTTGACCCAGATGAGGCGAGAATCCTCCATTTCATTACAAGTCAGGATTCTTCTTTCGCACACCTGAAGTCGAAGATGAGATCCAGGCTACAAACGATGCAATCGTCTTTAGAGTTCAGGGTGGACCATCTCGCGGATAGTGTTCATAAGCTGGACCAAAGGGTGAGAACAGGAAGTCGACAGGCAGATAGGATTCTCGCTCTAGGCTCGACTAGGCTTAAGGAACGAGACGAGAAGGAGAAAGGAGTGGCTGGGACCAAGGAGATGCCCGTTATGGAGGTGCTGCGAAGTCTGGGGAGGATATTACCGGAAGGTAGCGGGTGAAAAACACCACGCCTACAGTCCTTGCGATACAATGTTCTCGAGGGGTACAGCATGGCGTTACTTTGTGTGGAAAATGATATAATGATTGGCATGAGATTGGGAGGCTTCAATTGGCGTCTAGGACGTGATCATCCCATCGGAATGGAGATCAAAGGGCATGAGGGTTCGGTTCATTGCATAAAGAGTCTGAGAGGGTGGCCGCATCGAAACTGACGTTTTCTATACCATCTGTATGTTTGAGCAGCCGGCCGCCGGCGTGTCTTTCCAGATTTGCCAACCCAATGGATCTCATAATTCCATACAAGGCCGATTTGACCTATGCAGACATGGTGGCAAATACACTGTTATACAAAAACACATCGCCCGCTGAATCTTGCTATTTGTGATTTAGCGGCGGCATGAACGCCATCCCCTCTCCCCTGCCCTTTGCATTGCCCCCGTCCAGCACTCCCGATGCACTGCGCTCACGGACATGCCGCCTGAGCAGGGCCAGGATCTCGCTGTCCTTCCACCGCGCCGGCACCGGCCGGTAGGCCGGCTTGAACGTGCCTATGGTCTGCGCCCACTCTCCTGGCCGTGGGCTCGGCGTCGTCCACGGCTCGGAGTTCTGCTTTGCGCCCGTGGCTGCTGGACTGCTGGAGGCGCCATCTGCGGACTCCTCCTGCGTCACCCAGTAGTAGATATCCCAATCGTTCTCATCCAAGAAGAGATCGTACTGCTTCATCTGCTCAGGGCTCATTGTGGGTAGGTGCTCGGAGGCGAAGGTCGAGAGCAGGAGATCGGACTCGAGGGTGCCGCGCTTACGGGACTGGTCTGCATAGGATCCAAGGTGGTTAGTAGACGCTTATGGCGATGCTCGCAAGGCTCCAGGAGAGGCTGGCTTACAGATCAATCGCGCGCGCATCGTAGCGGCATCCTCGCCCACCCGCCGGAGCGGCTCAATCTTGAACTTTGCGCCCTGCAGCTCGCCTACTTCAAGTTCCTTGTTCGGGTCGGCCGCCGGGTCGATTGGCCCTCGCGACGAGCTGCTTTGCCAACGGGCGTTGGACATGCAAGCAGCCGGACGGGCGCCCGCGATGATGCGCCGGGTTGCCGGGCGGAGGAATCTCTGGAGTGATGCCATTGCATGTGTTGCTCTCGTGAATCTCTGCGATGCACTGAGCAGTTGATTTTGGTGTTTTTTGCCTTGCGTAGAAGGTAAAAGACCGGCAATCAGATGTATGATTCAACACATTTGGTAGAGGCTTGAGGTCTGGCACATTAGTGATGTAAAGCTAGGCGGGCCGAGGCCGAAAAATTAGTGCCGTTCGGTTCCGCCTCTTTTTACAGTAGTGCTGTAATGTTCTAGCTTGGCAACGCAGATCTAGGCAATTGTACGGGCAAGGGGTCAAAGTGGTCAGATTGCCAGTTATCAATGCAGTGTTCACAGAATACACTTTTGTCTGCTACGACTATGTTATAAGTGTAAAGTTCTTTCACTGCATTGGTATCGTGATCTGAATATGAGGCGTATAGGCCCATACGGAAAGAGTCGTCCACTAACAATCATGCTTTTTTGTCAACCAGTCGTAGTATACACACATCGAGCGATTTCCCAAGTATCCCATAGCATCATCTGCGTTGCCCAAATACTACCATACAGCTCTTGAACTCCTGGGCACCCAAAAGCAGCCGTCTAAGAGAGAGAGCCTATTAAATGAGATGCTTGGATCTATTGGTCCTAAAGTCAGCAAATATCTCCAGATTACAAAGATGTGAGCGATGGGGAGAAACGCACCGGAAGTATGCCCTGAGGTACATGATCTGCCATCCCCAAAGAGCAATCAGGAGAAATGTAGTGCCAAAGCCGAACCACTTGACACGAGTGTTTGTGCTCTCGTTGGTGTCTCGAAGCTTCTGCTCGCGTGCCCTCAGGTAATCCATCTCGCTAACGACCTCAGCGGTGAGCTCCTCTAAACGCCGGAGATCCGTCTCAACGGGCTTGAGCTTCTCGGTCGCCTGGATGGCGGACCAGTCCTTGGCATCGGCACCAATGTCGATGTCAAGCTCGACGTGTCGGCTAGGGTTGTCGACATATTTGTCTGCAGTCCTTGTCAGCCCCTGCACGCTTGTCCGCCCCCGAATCATCGCCCGGAATCACATACTTCCGCTTAGAATATTCTCAAAGCAGACATCAAACGCGGAATCGGCGTGGGAGGTGAAGACTGTCCGCGACTCGCCTGCGACGTCTCTCGGTCGGCCGTACTCGTTTCCTACAGCGTCCTTGATCTAGTGGCAATGATATTCATCAGCCATGTTTCTGACAGCTAAACACCCTGTGATGTAGGTTGTACTAACGTGCATGTTCACGACCATTCCATCGCCTCTGTGGCCGTCGACGGTGGCCGTCACGACGACCAAGGTGTCCTTAGCCACAAAGTTCCGTATGCATCGCTCCGGCTTCCGATCGTGCTGGGAATACGCTTGCAGATCGAACTTGAGGGCCTGGGCGCAGGCAACCAGGAGGACGAGACTGCAGACGTACTGCAGCAAAGAGCGTGGAAGGGCCATTGTCGCCGGGAAGAAGCTGCGTGAGTTGTGCGAAGGGAGCTTCTTGGACTGCCAGAAGGAAACAGGAGAATAGGTGCGATAAAGTGGTAAATCTGTCGCGTTCCAATTGGGGCTAGCTCACCTGTGGTGGAGCGTGGCCAATAACGTTGACACCCAAGGAAAAGCGCGGTAGCTTAAGTCACCCCCTGGAACCGAAGCCTTCTGGTCTGCGTTGCACGTGCGCCCGCGGCAGCCTTGCGGATCTCGAACTTCTTTGTATGTTTCCTCCCCATTCGCCGCCGCCTGTGCAGACCAACCTCGACCGAGATCCGTCCTCGAGAGCTTCGACCCGCACCTGTTCTCTCGCGAGTGCTTGACAATCAAGACAAGATGCCCAAGTGTAAGTCTTATTCTATCACCAAGCCTCGACTTTTCAGATGACCATCACTGACTTTGCGACAGTCTTCTGCGACTATTGCGATGTCTACTTGACGCACGACTCGATGAGTGTGCGCAAGGCACACAACAGCGGACGTAACCACCTTCGTAATGTCGTGGACTACTACCAACGTATGTTCTGGTCCTCCTCTGCTCTTATGGCCGGGCCCGACAGCTAACATCAAGCCGCAGAAATCGGTCACGAGAAGGCGCAATCAGTCATCGACTCCATCACATCCTCCTACGCCGCCGAGGGCCAGGCGCACAACAACCCCATGCTACCGCAGAACCAGCCCGGCGGCGGCGCGTTCCCACCCCCAGGCATGCCCTTCTCCTTCCCCGGCGGTGTGCCTCCGCCGCCCTTTCCAGGCATGCCAGGTGCTCCGCCCGGCCAGTTCCCGCAGGGCATGATTCCTCGTAAGTCCTCATCCTCACCCCAAGTCGGTCGCTCTCCTCCCTGGCGATCTACCTAGGTATACGGCCCCGTACTCACAAGTCTTCTCCGATGCAGCCCGCCCCGGATCCGGCCTACCAATGCCGTCCTTCCCACCACCAGGCGGCGCGACCAACACGCCTCCCCTGCCGATTCCCCCTCCCGGGGCCGGTGGCCTCCCCTTCCCTCCTCCTGGGGGCCTACCGTTCCCGCCCCCGGGAGCCGCGGGCCTGCCGCCGAACTTCCCCTTCCCTCCTGGCGGACTTCCGCCTCCTGGAGCAGGCTTCCCACCGATGCCGCCTTTCAACGCCAATGGACCGCCGCCGCCGGGACAGGGCCCTCCTGGCGCGGACAGATGAGCTCTATTCTCGGTATATGGGGAGACCGGCTTCGCTTTATCAGTTGGGCAAGCAACATATCACGGCGCATGGCGTTTAGGTTAGGTTGGGGACTGAAATATCGGTTGCATTATGCAAGTGAAGGTGTACCAATAAAAAAAAGTACTCAACACATCCATCAGATAGGTGGCTTCCATATGTGCTCGAGCCGTTGTAGTTGGTGCTCTAGGGGGCAGCCAAACCAAATAACCTCGCAAAAGGACAGATAAAAACCTGTTCGAAAAGGTCCATGGACACATTGACCTCGAGGGTTTGGGATTGATCAATATCATTAGATTGATGTCTATAATTTACAACCTCGTCCTCAAAATGACACTTTGTTACAGGGACAACCTCATTCCCGACATCTGCAAGATACACAAGACTCTTAGGAACAATAACAACATGCTCTTGATTCTTTCCAAAATTAAACTTGTTTTCGCTCCTATAGACGCCGGTACCCGCTCGCCTCCTCAACACCCATATGACCGTACCATGATGTCGTAAAATGTTGTCATTCAAATATTTCATCATCAGTCATAGGAGTTTCTGCTTCATTTCAAAAATGTGAACCCATAGCCTAGAAAACAAATGCATATCCCAGGACCGCCGCGAACCAGTCATATCGGTCGTTATCACCATAAATCCTCCTGAAAATCCAACCTGTCTCTCATGTCTAGGGTATAAAATGGTATCATTTTTCGTCGTATTTGTTGGTGTTTTCATTGTGTGTGCGGCCATCACTTACCGGGTAGCCTGAGCCTGAGCAAAGGCGTCCCGATAACTATTCCTGCGAATTACATCGCCAACGCCGTCTCTCACCTCTCGAGGCCCACTAATCTTCTGACGAAGCTCTTTGCTTCTCTTCTCGCGGCGACGTTCACTAAATCGCCGTGGCAAGTTTTGCAGGCTGTATTCCTCGAGCTTACTTCCGAGCCCGGGAAACAAGCGGGCTTTTTTGGGTTGGCTGGGGTTGCCCGAGCTCTCCTTGCTGAAACTGTAGGACTGCCAGAAGTGTCGACGACGGTTTGAGAAGTCCTGGTCAGGGGCAGTATATGGCCGTTGATCATCCGGTCTTGCATGCCGTAAGGAACCTACGCTTCCACGGTGCTTGACAACACGTAGGTTGCCACTAGGAGTTCGCTTTATGGTGCGGCGCTCGGGACCAGTATGCCTGCTTGCAATGTAGTCCTCGAACTCGTCCTGAATTGGCATTATGGCGAAGGTCCGCTTCATCCGATCACTAAAACTTCTTCGCGGAGGGTGTGGCCGATTATCGATAGGCGGGTACCGGTGCACTTCTTCTTCCATATCGTACATATCATCCTCCTCATCTCCAGACTGGTCGGAATATGCTGGACGCCAGAATGGGTGCAGTCTTCCCTCGTCGGCAGGTTTGTCTTCAGCAGTGGGGTACGCTAGCACAAGAGCTGCATGCTTTCCCCTGTCCAAGTCTGGATTCTCGGCACTCTCCCTTCGAATATTTTTTGACAGAGAAAACGTCCGAGTGAGAAAGCCAAGATTGGGGTTGCGTGCTGGCGGTGGGCCATACTCAGAATGACGGCGTTTACCTAAGGCTCGGCGTACTAGTGATACATTGCGGGCCGGTTTTGGACCAGCTTCAACTTCGTAGAAGTTGCCGAGTTGCTTGTCCTTCTCCTGAGCTGGCGTGAGACCCGATGGAGTTGCGGGTATGAAGTTGATAGCTGGGGGCTCTGGTGGACTGCGAGGGTTTCTTAGAGGTGAATCCACATCATCCATTGAAAAAGCGAACTGTGGAGGAGTAACAGGGCCGTTACCATCCTGGTCTGAAGTCACTATCGTGGGGTTGCCTGCCTCGCGCGAATCGACCTTGTCCGATGTTTTGGACTTTTGCGAGCCATCCGAGCCATCAGACGGTTTGTGATCCACCATTAACACAGACTTATTCTGATGAGGGACAATGCTGACTGCCATTGCTTCCGAGATCTCTGCCGCGGAGGTGCCTGTGGTTTCGACGGACGCTTGAGAGAAAGGCGTCACTTGAGCAGAAAGCCGCTTGCCGAAGAACGGATCACCATTTTTGTCAACGCTAAGCTTATGAACCGGCTGTTCTTGCGTGTCCTCGACACCGTGACTCTCAGGTTCTACTGGCGGTGCGGGCTGCAGCTTGACCGCTGGCAGAAGCACCTCCTTCCTGGTGTTATGGACATCTTGCAGAGCATTGTGCGCCTTCAAGCTCTCTGATGTCAAGGAACCTGCCCGTGAAGTATTACGGCTTGTTGGAGCTGAAAGCGAAGATGTACGCCTAGGAACGATAGGCGGGTAGTCCATGGTTCGCTGGTCTCCTGGGGTTGATCCATCTGACTCAGAGGTTGCTCGTCCACGTCGTGATGGTCGCTCAAAATAAGGGGTCAGATCCTTGCTCCTCGATACTTGAGACAGTGGTGCAGAACTCAAACTCTGGCTTCGCCTGGAGTGTCTGCTGCTTGTCGACCGCAGGGAGCGTTCCTTACTGTCTGACCGCACAGATGAAAGACGATCAGGGACAACGACGACAGGTATTCCGCCATTCTTCCAAATCTCTCGGCGCGCTTTGCGGCTTGTGAGAGAGTTCATGGTTCCTGAAGAAGCTACACTATCAACTCGGGCATCTCGTAGATGCTCCACTGGCCGCCTCCTTCGCTCAGTCTCATCCAAGCCGACTGATGTGGGTGCTGTACTAGGCGGAGATATATCCGAGCTGGAGTCACGCAATGCATTTAGTTTTTTGACGTGCCGCAAGGTCTTCTGCCGTCGTGGTGGAGTGTCGACCAGTATTGCTTCCACAACGGTCGACACGGTCGACTTTGACGACATACCGGACGATCTCCTCACATCTGCACTGAATGATGAATCCGAGGTTGACGGTGCAGGTGCGGTAAACCGCCTGATGGGCTCAAAAGTGATTTGCGGCGAAGGATACGCGAGGGGTTTCCCGTGTAGAGGCATGGCGCGTACAGCTTTGGTAGCATTTGTTGGAGTGATCGTAACGTCTTCGATAACTTCGTCGTCGCGGGTGTCTGAGTTTACTCGTGGTCGGCGTTTCTTCACGGTTACATTCCTCATCAAATTGTCATCCCATTCCTGTTCGACCTCACTGGCGGAGCCCCACTCTCCATCAAAGGCCATAAATTCGCCCTTTGATCTTGGTGTCAGATTAGGTTCAGGGCTCGATTCCAATCCTAATCCTAACCCTACTGCCTGAGGTTTCGATTTCTCATCTGCTCTATTCGGCCTAACCGTGTTTTGCGACGTCCTTGCAGAGGGCATTCCTGGGCGTAGAGTCGACTTGCCATCATCTTCATCCGACGACTCCGGGTTCTCCCTCGCAGTCTTGAATGATTCTGTCCGGGAGCCAGTTGTGCTTTTCGAGGGTAGTCTCTCGTGCACAACGGGCCGTAAAGCTTTAGGACGCCGCTCGGGCTGGGGGGGTGTGACATCTGGAGTTGGAGGGCTTCGCTGGTTTGTAGGTGTAGTGGGAGCCTGTTCTTGGATATCTTCCGTGCTCTGCTCGGGTGTTTCGACGTAAGTCGGGCTCGAGGGTATCGCAGAGTGGCTACTCGAGGAGGTCCGCGAATGCGCCGGTGGTGTGGGAGGAAGATCAGGCCAAGTCCCTTTTCTTCTTGCTTGTTGTTTAAGTGCTTGAGGGCTTGTGGGCTGTGAGCCCGAGGTCGAAGATAGAGCAGTGTCGATTGTCAAGTCATAACTCTTGAGAGCAGACGCGTTGAGGTCATATGTGGCAGGGTATCTGCTCTTGCGCGGGTGTGGAAGGGTCTTATGCTTCCTGAACAGCCGCTGACTCGCTGCGAAGCTGCCGTCTGGCGGTGCCATGTATTCAATATTCGTAGTAGGCATGGTGTAATGTGCCGACATCGAGCTCGGGCTTATCGTCATTCTTCCTTGATACGCCTAATCTCGCAACCAGGGGGCCTCGCCCTTCAATATACGCGGCTTTGGACGACGGATTGTCTTTCGAGTGTTTGCATTGTAAATGTAACGATGGCAACCGGGCAGTGATAGATATAGAGGGAGCTAGCAAGCAGACGGAAGCAGTTCGATGCGTGGGGGTGTTAAGACGTGGCCTTGGAGTCTGGGGAAAAAGACGTGTCTCTCCACTGCCTCTTGCCTAGATCTAGGCCTCCAGACCAGCGTGAAGATATCAAGCAACGAGTACCTGAATGGCGCAGGAGTCAGACCAGTGCTTCCGGCAGGTAGACTCGTACGGCGAAGGGGGAAGTGCTGTCCTTGATCCCCAGCTGGCAATTATTGTGTGGGCTTCGGCTGTGGGAGTGCACCGAGTTCTCTGAGCTCGCTGTGGTTCAGGACTGTCCACCTATGCTACTGTGTCGCAGTCGATTTTGTCGGTCGCCAATCAAGTACGGGACAGGGCTTCCATGGCTTGAAACTCGGGACTCGACGGGGGTGCGATGACAAGAGGCTCGCTGTAAGGCAGTATATCTGACACAAACTGGCAATGCGGAAAAGGCAAAAAGTCTTTGCTACTGGATGGGGGGAGGGGATGATGTCGTCCGCTTTCTCACTTGTTGCGCTCGCGCAGAGGAGTCCAGAAGAGAGGAGTACAGGCCGTCAGCAGCATAGGACAGAGCAGTTGAAAGTACCGATTGGCTGAGTGGAGACTCGAGGAAGGACCCAGGCAGTGCCAGTGCCAGTGCCCAGTGCTCAGTGCCAGCGTCTGATGGTCGGCAGGGAACAGAAACTGGGAAAGCAAGGAGAGGGGAGGCTGGGCGACGAGGTTGGAGGGGAACTCCCTACCTCTTCTTCACCTTCTACCTCACAGCAGTTAGTCTTGTTGGTTACGCACCAACGCCCAGATGGGTCACCCCCCAAAATGTCCATTGTCCATTCCCAAGATGCGCCGGCTGGGGTGGCAGGGTGGGGACCAAATGGGAGAGGGCCGGACCGGGGCCTGGCAAGAACAGGGAAAGCGCCAGTGCGCTAAC